TTTCGAACTATTCCCACTTCCGTAATGTCAACAAACCTTCAATGAAGCCACCTTATAAGGTGTTACTCAGCAGAAAGTTACACTGTACCCATGAGTTTATTTAACAACGTAATGCAACGGTAAGACCAGGGTTTAAACAATAAAGAAAATGACAACAACAAATAAAGCATCAGTTGAATATCTTTGTGTTTGTTTACACTTTCGCCAAAATGCGTATTGCCCGAATTCATTTTTCCATACAACAATATTGACATGTATATACTGAGTGAGAGTGTTGCTTTATTTTATGCGTACACAAAAGTCTACAAGGTAAAACAGGTCTTATATAATAATCAAATATAACAGTAAGTTTGGAACCTAAATGTTTAATGCGTTCAAATATTTTGGAAAATAAATACATAAGTCGTTAATAGTGCCGTAAGTTTGTTATAGTGTCAATCTATTAAACAATATAAAAACAAACTGGTAATAGGGAAATACTGTCCTGCTTAGTGCAGTGCACAAGTATTCCATGCCAACTGATCTAAAATTACTGCAATGTGTGTACATATATGCATTTCATTTAGTTACTTTATGATCGCACCTACTTGCTAGATATGGCTGAAAATACATAAATTTTTCGATAGCGAAACATTATAAATATAGGCTAATAAAATTCTCTATCGTAAAGTTAATTAATCATTTCTTTTTATACAACAAAATGAGGAAAAAGATAATGAAATTAAGTGTTCCGTAATGTCGTGATGATACATTTATAAAAGAGAAAATGAAAAATCACGTGACAAACTACAGAAATATTTGGGAATTAAAGATCATACTAAAAAAAATGTGAACCTTTGGAAAGTTGAACTCAAAACATCATTTCCATTAGCAGAACGGTCTAACCACTGTGCTGCATCGACTATCGTACCTCTGATTATATGTCAATGAAAATGAAAAATGTAATAATTTAATAACTTTCACAACCTTTCGCAATAATGGTAAGAAGACATGTTTGTTTGTTTTGGGTTTTACGTCACATCGACATAGTATAGGTCATATCGCGACGTTCCAGCTTTACTGGTGGAGGAAGACCTGAGGTGCCCTTCCGTGCATTATTTCAGGCACAAACGGGCACCTGAGTAGAACCACCGACGTTCCGTAACCTAGCTGGATAGCAAGAAGACATGTTCAACTAATATGTTTTGTACAGTATTCATTATGTTTTTTTCTTTACACATGCTCAAAGGGAAATAATTCTTATAGATACATATGGGAAAACGTGTATTGGTTATCGTCCTTCCTCAATAAATGATAAAGGTTATGATAAAATGAGCATGTCATGGTTATGATTAAGTAGGTAAAGGTTTTTTATCTGAGCAGGTATATGGGTTATGATCTGAGCATGTTTATTTTTGGATCTGGGCTGTTTTCTGGGCAATTCTGCATTACGGACTCTGTCGTATATGACATGTTATGCTCGGGTTGTAAACTTTATAATATTCCACCTTATTGTGGCATATAAATTGTAAAATATTTTTATATGGATGATTACATATAAACACCGAGTATATTGAAATCTAACTTTTTTTAATTTATTTAAATCTGGAAACAAAATGATCCCTCGGAAGCATTATTCACAACAAAATTACAAAAGAATTGCAGACTCTGTTTGATTGAGTCTGTACATGAGGGATAATGTAAAGTGCAACATTCCTCACGTCCCCTAGCACCGCCTTGAGAGCGGTACTTAATTCTCAACACTTAATAGTGCTGGCATCAAGTTTATTTATATATACCAATAATTATATAGACTAAATATATAAACCGTGTTTTTTGTAATTTAAGTTCTATGTCACCTCATGCTGACCGATAATGACAAGAAAGTATCAAATTTTTTCCTCCACAGTTATGTATCATTAATTTATCTTTATTGATGTAATACGTCTAACATTTTACACCGTTTTAAGTTTAAATTACGATATATATGTTTCGCAAATAGATTAGTCCTGAAAGTGATTTATAGAAAACAGTACAATTTTGACCTACTAAGCGAGTCCAGAGATAAACAGGTTTAAAACTGGGCTTCGTAAACGTCTCTTGAAATTCTACTCCTGTAAATAAATGTGTCTCTCAAGTCGAAACTATAATATGTTATGTGCATGAAAAGCTGTTATACATTACATTCCCTTTAATTTATTCTACTTCATAAAATGCCTATATTAAAGAGTCTCCAGCAAGGTTTTTTATATATATATGACGAGACTGGACATACTTATTTGAGATTAATGTTCCATTTGATGTAAGTCTACAACAATAACGTGTGTGCAAAATTTCAAAACATTCGCTCATTCCGTTTTTACAGAATAATCATTTTAGTTATAAAATGATCCAAAATTACTGGAATCGGGCTAAGACTAGCACAAAAATACGTTGTTTTTTTCAATTTATTTCTAAATTATCATTGGTATTTCTCTCTGTTTAATCGTCCCAGCTAATATCAATAGTTCGTATAAGTCCCAGCTTTTTAGGTGGTGGAGTTATTGTTTCGTTCATGTGTATAACCGCCGTCTCTCCGCAAGTTTCCCGTAATGGGTGGTCTCGATACACGGTCGGTAACGGCAAGCGAATCAAAGTCTATAACCTTAACCACGGAGGTCCAATTATGTTACCTATGAGAACAAAGATCAATAAGGCAATTCGACGGCACCCCCATCACCCACCCGGGCGACGAAACCCGGTCACGCAAGACCACTATTAAGATAGCGGCAGGGTATGAAAATCAGTAACTGTTATAAATTAAAGTAGCAGGGTCCGTATATCAGTAACTATTATAAATTGTAGTAGCAGGATCCGTATATCAGTAACTATTATAAATTGTAGTAGCAGGCTCCGTATATCCGTTACAGTTATAAATTGTAGTAGCAGGATCCGTATATCAGTAACTGGTATAAATTAAAGTAGCAGGGTCCGTATATCAGTAACTGGTATAAATCGTAGAAGCAAGGTCCGTATATCAGTAACTGTTATAAACTGAAGTAGCAGTGTCCGTATATCCGTTTCAGTTATAAATTGTAGTAGCATGGTCCGTATATCATTAACTGTTATAAATTGTAGTAGCAGTGTCCGTATATCAGTAACTGGTATAAATTAAAGTAGCAGGGTCCGTATATCAGTAACTGGTATAAATCGTAGAAGCAGGGTCCGTATATCAGTAACTGTTTTAAATTGTAGCAGCAGTGTCCGTATATCAATAACTATAATAAATTGCAGAAGAAGAGCGTATATCAATAATTGTTATGAATTTAAGTGTTTACGAAACAACGGATAATGAACAATGAGGGGGCACTAACGACAACTTTTCAATTGTGTTATAATTATGATTATTTAATTCTTACCAATTTTTTGCAAAAGGCACTTAACATTTCCATGGCAATGTGCTGTAAATATAGATTGCATTGTCCTATCTAAGTACTTGAGTGCTCAAAGCAAACTTTAATTTCATGTATTACTCATTATGCAATTTAAGGTAAAGGTACGTATTAGCAGGTGTCATGCTTATCCGTTTAAACTTGTTCGATCGGTTATTAGCCAATAACCGGTTAAAAAACGATAATCGGTAACCGAGGTTAGTATTAGACCAATAGTCAAAACGTTTAAGAATGATTTTATTTATAATCTTTGTTTTACTATAACCAGATATGACATTTTGTTTTAATTGGTCATACAGACCTGTGTTTTTTTTCTCATTTGCATGTTATCTTATTGTGTACGTTACGGCCGTAGCGGAAACTAATGTGATAACTTTTGAAATCTGATGAGTATAACAACATATGAAATAAATGCTATAATTATATTTAAACGGTTACCATATAAGGCACTCTTGACACCCCTAGTAATAATTACTTTATTAATATTTTTTTATTATTTAACATAAAATGAGCACGCCCTCGTTCATTTTAGTGTAGACGATTTTCATTTAACCGAATTCGTTCTACATTATAACTTAAAGTTTTTATCTATTGAATACATAAGCAAATATTTACCGTTCGATCAATGTACTAATAACGTGTTTTTAAATAAGAGAATTTATTGCGTTATATTTCTACATTTATTGTAGGCGAACATATACAGTCTTGTTTTAAATCTGAAATCTAAATGACGGTGCTGAAAAAAACCTGAAAAAAACAGAACATGAAAAATACGAATAAATTATTTTTCGATTATAATTATGAAACCATATTGCCATTAATGAACCGAATAAAAGTTACATCAGTAAACACGTGCTTAGTAGGAGGAAGTGGTACCTTACCTTAGTCTTAAAATCGTTTGATTGATAAGTTACAAACGGTATATATTCCGTGCATACTACATTATTTAATCTTTATGGAATATATACCGTGCGTTACCGACGACGAATATAAGAAATATACTACGTAAAAAGTGCACGTTTAGTGACGTCAATAATACACTAGCTTAATCTGATACATAAATAACTATTGATGTGATAGATCTTGCTGCTGTTGCGATGATGTTGTTGTTGTTTTTGTGGTTGTTGATAAATTCGAAATACTGTAACAGTGAACTCAGTCGTGTAAGAAATTCGTTCTGATTAAAAAGATATTCCTTCTAGGAGGCTTTTTTGCAAATTTGCTCTTTGAAACAGTTTTCAAACAAAACCACATACCATATCTTTGTAACAGTAATTTGCAATAAATTCATCGAATATAAATTCAAATTTCACCTGAATTTATTGGCGTATATATTTCAAGTATAAAGTATGTATATATAATGCAGGGAGGGGAAGCAGTATTCTTGTGGCTCTCCTAAATTTATATGTTTAAGACATCACTCGCTACAGTGCCTCAATGCTTTCAACTCCCGTCAAGCGATATATATATTTGCTTAAAATCAGTTTATGTTCTGAATATGCTAGATCTTGTTGTACCTATTTATAACGCATTAACTATAAAGTATCCCATCGCCCTCAAGTTTTATCAAAGTTTAATATTTGGGCCGGAACATGTGTGAATGAACTTGGTTTAAATTGTCGAGTAAGGACTTAAAATTTTAGTTTGCGAAATTTTCACTGACTATGGGAGGTTTAAACATTGCTGTTATTATTGGAATTCTAGGTGTAATTGTTTATCTTCTGAGCTCACCAACAGAGAGACTTACGGTTCAACATGTAAACAAAACGTACGACTACATTATAGTAGGAGCCGGTTCTGCTGGTTCCGTTGTTGCAGCGAGACTTTCCGAAGATCCAAAAGTCAGTGTACTTCTCATTGAAGCTGGAGGCGAGGAAACAAACAACATAACATTTTACAATGCCCCACTGTTTCCGCAGGTATTACAACTCTCTGAATCTGATTGGATTTACTACACATCACCTCAGAAGAATTCAGGAATGGCTAGCATAATTGGTGGAAACAGGCACTATTGGCCTCGTGGAAAAGTTCTAGGAGGAACGAGCATGTACAACAATATGCAGTATGTCAGAGGAAGTAAATATGATTATAATGAATGGTCAAAGAATGGATGTGAAGGATGGAGTTATGACGAAGTCCTACCGTACTTTTTAAAATCGGAAGACTTTTTAGGGAAAGGCTTGAAAGACTCAAAATACCATAATGTAGATGGACCAATGGGCGTGAGTCTTGAAACATTATTTGACAATTTTGTAAAGAGATTTGTAGAAGCTGGAAAGGAATTGGGATACGAAGAAAATAACGATTTGAATGGAGAGAATCAGCTTGGCTTTGGTGTAAGTCAAGTGTCAGTGAGAGATGGTGTACGAGCTAGTACAGTGAAAGAGTTTTTGCGTCCAGCTATGAAACGAAATAATTTACACGTTGTTGTAAATTCACATGTTACTAAAGTAAACATTAAGGACAATACCGCTACTGGTATAACCTTTATTAAAGACGGCATTAAGAACACTGTAAATGCAAAAAAAGAAGTGATTTTATCTGCAGGTGCGATCGGATCACCTCACATTCTTATGTTGTCAGGAATAGGTCCGAAGAAGCATTTGGAGGACCTGAAAATTAAGGTTCATCAGGATTTACCTGTTGGCAAAAATTTGCAAGACCATCTTTTTGTTCTTTATCCATCTGACGTAGTTGATTCTACAGAAGTGCTGAAAGGAACAGATGTCGCGAGTTTATTTTCATTTTTGCGATATCAGTTATTTAACGATGGTCCATTGTCGACAACGATGCTAGTTGGAACAGCGTTCATCAAATCAAAGCAACAGGTTGAGAATTATCCAGACATTCAATTTCATATTGCTCCTATCCAGCCAAACTTAGAGTTTTTTAAGTTAAATGGTACATTTCTTAGAAGCGTATATCCTACTGGTATTAAAGATGGCTTAACTTTAATTCCAATTCTGTTGCATCCAAAGAGCCATGGCTCAATTACACTGGCAAGTTCGGATCCGTTTGATTATCCAATTATTGATCCAAATTATCTCGCACATGACGACGACATCAATACTCTTAAAGAAGCTCTAAAGATATCAGAGAGATTACTCGAAACAGAAAGCTTTAAGAAAATAGGGGCACATTCAGATAACTTTAAAAATGCAGAATTTTGTAAAATGCATGAATATAAGTCTGAAGGATTTTATGAATGTCTCGTTAGGAATTTAGCTCACACAGTTTATCACCCAACGTCAACATGTAAAATGGGACCTGATACTGACACTGACGCTGTCGTTGATTCTACATTGAAAGTTAGAGGAATAAACGGTCTTCGAGTTGTTGATGCATCTATAATGCCAAATGTCGTTTCAGGAAATACAAACGCGCCAACAATTATGATCGCAGAGAAAGCCGCTGATATGATTCGTGGTGTTGACACTGTAAGACATTTACGGAAACGAACCTAAAGAGGGACATCTCTTATAGAACAAAATTATATATTATGACTGCTCAATAAGTTTGTTGTGAAAAATACTGTCAAAATTCTGCTTTAAATCTGAATTGCCGACAAATTCAAATCATTGATATATTGTTTCCATATATTTGATATACTGTTGTCAAATATTTGATAAACTGTTTTCAAATGTTTCATGTATTGTTTTCAAATATGTGATATATTGTTTTCAAATATTTGATTGATTGTTTTTAAATATTTGATATATTCTTTTCAAATAATTGATATATTCTTTTTCAAACATTTGATTAATTCTTTTCAAATTTTAATATATTGTTTCCAAATATTTGATATATTCTTTTCAAACATTTGATTTATTCTTTTCAAATTTTGATATATTTTTTTCAAATATTTGATATATTCTTTTCAAACATTTGATTAATTCTTTTCAAATTTTAATATATTGTTTCCAATATTTGATATATTCTTTTCAAACATTTGATTTATTCATTTCAAATATTTATATATTCTTTTCAAATATTTTATAATATTTAAGGTCAATTTTTTAAGACATTTTAATAAAATTAATTAAAACACACTTCTACCTGGATAGTTACAATCACTACCGTTGGTAATTTATAACATATGACGGGGTCTTGAGTAGGGTTTTAAAGTTCTCTAGGTTCAATGGGCATACACTTTAACGACTTTGTCAATTTTCGATATACATTTATCGGAGCAATGTAATTATTTCAAATTATATGCTTTTCAAATTCGCAAATCTGCTGAAATATAATGATCAAAAATTCCAGCTCTTATTATATTCTACCATACATCCTTTTCCTTTTGACAGCCTAATTAAACGAAATAGCTGTTCCTTTTTTAATGTTATTCCTATATATGGCGCTTGAAGATTTAAAACACCCCGCCAATAATAGATTATATGTGCAAGTAAATTAACTAGCACGGACGAATAAGAGTAACAAAACTTCTTATCAGGATATAATTGCATGTTTCTTTATTGACGGTAACCATCATTCATTTCTAAATTTATGTTTCATATTTTAACAATGTATAATGTACGAGCACAATAGTAGTTAGTGGAAAAAAACTATTAAATCGAAATGTAATTAATCCAGGGATATAAACGCTCAAGATTATGGGAAATATCTCAAATTCGTTTTGATTTAAAATATTACGTGATAGTTCAATTAGTTGCAAGCAATATTGTATTGTTAAAATGTTGAGCCACTTTATGTCTATCAGTACTTGTGCATTATTTTATTTTATTTCCGACATAATGGATGTAAAACGAGTATATTGTGTATTATTGATATCTTAATATAAATATTTTAATATACCTATAGCAACAACATGTTTGTTTCTGTTTCTTTTTTTCTTTCTTTTTTTCAAAAAGAGTCTATTTTGATCTTTTAATGACATTTATTGGATCATTATTTCACGATGAAAGCGAACTCAATGTTTTCCACCTCACCTGTCGTGGGTAAGAGAGCTATACATTCCAATAAATCGAACCAATTTAGCCGCTTCTTATGATCATGCAAGGTTAAACGGTGGTTGCAGTTCTGATGCCTTAACCCGTAAAGGCAACACTCAGCGTGAAGAGAGAATGGTTTCATTATATGATAGGAATAAGGCGTATGTTACATACCACATAAATGTCGTTATATATATTCTATGTTACTTCTGTTGTTATAGTGGCGTGTTCATACATTTCAGATACATGAATTTGAGGTAAACTATAATCGTAATTAGGGGGAAACAGATGATTAATGAAACTTAAATATGGCTTAAATTTCTAATATGTTCATAGCAGAATTATTAATGAAAACTGTTGAACTACTTTCAATGAAACTGTTTTTGTCATAACCCCAATTTGATCATTACATCTAATGTTATTCAAAATGATACAACGTTCATTTTTGCACAGTATTTGTGTTTTGTTTATTTGTATGATATGCGAATCAAAATAAAACTCCCATGGTAGTGCTGGGACAGACTAGTAATAAGTGATGAGTTGCAACATCGAATATTCAACGAAACAACATAAGTTGCTCCAAATAATACAACACTACCCAAACTTCTCCAGATAAAACAACACTACACATGTTGATCCAGATAATACAACACTACACACGTTTCTGTTGGTAATATAACACCATACAAGTTGCGCCAGATAATACAACACTACACAAGTTACACAAGATGAGATGTTCTTGGTAGTATAACACTATACAAGTTGATCCATATAATATGAATTATGTCGATAACATAACACTTTACAAGTTGCTCCAGATAACACAACACTACACAGGTTGCTTCAAGTAATACAACGCTACACAAGTTGCTCAAGATAATATAACACTACACAACTTGTTCCAAAGCGTAATTAAGCGCTAAGGTAGAGTGTTCTGTTCGAAAGTGTAAAGATCTTGGTAGAATCCTTGAAATGGCCATTTATAGATATTTTTCAACGGACTGGACTTTGATGTCTCTTGAAATTCATACAGTCACACAAGACTATTTGAAAACATTAAGTTTTTTGGGGTTTTTTTTAATATTTGCATTCAACAGAGTTTTTAAGTCAACGTATTCGATATGTTAGGCGCTAATTTATTGAATAATACGCAATGAAAGAAAATATATATAGATGTATACAAATTTGCCAATATTATTAAAATGGGGCACATCAGTTTCAAATGGATATGAAATATTCAAATTGTTTAAATGTCTGTTTAAAAATCAAATACGTTATAGTTTGCTCAACCAAAATGAAGCAGTATCATACAGAATACCGTTAGGTTCATCGTGGTTATACTTTATTGTCGCATTATTGTACTGTCGTCATCCCGTTATTGCACTGTCGCCATCGCACTAACGATTGCACTGTCGCCATCGCACTATCGCATTGTTGTCATCGCACTGTTTTATTGTCGTCATCGCGCTATCGCACTGTCGCAGTGTCGCCCTAGTTTAACTACTGTGGCCCTAACGATATTCCGTAGTATCATGACAATACGTTTCTAAATGAGAAAATGAAGAATCACGTGACAAACTATAAAAATATTTTGGAAGTTAAGATCATACTTAAAAAAATGTGCACCTTTGGATAGTTGAACTCGAAACATCATTTCCATTAACACTGTGCTGCATCAACTACGTGTCCGTACTTACTTTTATAGTACATATGTATTATATGTCAGTAAATATAATAATTAGATAACAGCCTTTCGAAATAATGGTAGGACCGAAAACGTTAGCGTGTTCGACTTATAGGTCAGGGTATCGCATTGTAACATGGCCATCGATTGGCTGAAAAAAGTGCATGAAAACAAAAAACGTATGATTCAATTTATACATGAGGTGATTGGATGAAAATGGGGTATTTTTAAGTATAAAAACTAATTTAGAAAGTAACACTACATCGTTTTCTGAAAAGAATGAAATATTTCATGAGTCTCTATGATAATTTTGACTTGGATATTTGCATTTATAAAAAGTGTATGTCAGTCCTGTGATCAGCAGAACATTTCAATGAAATGGGGGGGGGGGGGTAATCCTCTTTGAAGTCATTGTTGGCTACCTGTATATAACAGGAACATTTTTATGTGTCAGGCATTTTATTCTGCTAGAAAAATCACCTCTTTGGCATGAAAACTCAATTTTAAGGTAGGATTAGGGACCATTTCTTATAATGTAAATCTATGGAAATAACAATGTGAGTGTCTGACCTAAATGTTATGTTTTAAGCATCATTACACATGCTGAAAGGGAATTAATTCTTAAAGGTGCATATGAGAAAAGTGTGTATTAGTTATCGTTCTGCAATAAATGATAGGCAAACAAAAATATAGGTTATGATAAAGTGATATGAGCCTATCCAGGTTATGATAAAGTATGTAAAGGTTTGGATCTGAGCAGGTATATAGGTTATGATCTGAGCATGTTTATCTTTGGATCTGGGCTGTTATCTGAGCAATTCTGCATTACGGACTCTGTTGTATATGACACGTAATGTTTCAATTTCTTTCTGTACGTAAAATTTATAATATTTGACCTTATTGTGGCATATAAATTGTAAAATATTTTTATATGGATGATTATATATAAACACCGAGTATATTGAAATCTAACATTATTTCATTTATTTAAAGTTTATTTATATTCACCAAAGGCAATATATAAACTAAATTTGATCCCCGTGTGTTTTCTGTAATTTAAGTTCTATGTCACCTCCTGCTGACCAATAAATGACAAGAAACTATTAAATTCTTTCATCCACATTATGTATCATTAATTTATCTTTACTGATGTAATAAGTCGTACATTTTACACCGTTTAAAGTTTAAACCACGGTATATCTGCTTCGTTAAAAGGATTAGTCCTGAAAGTGATTTATAGAGTACAGTAAAACCAACATGTAACAATCTTGACCTACTAAGCGAGTCCAGAGATAAACATGTTTAAAACTGGGCTCCGTTTACATCCCGCGAAATTCTACTCATGTAAATAAATGAAAGTCTCTCGAACTCGAAAAATAATATGTTATGTGCATTAAAAGCTGTTACAAATAACATTTCCTTTAAAGCTACATTAAATTAATATGTTAAAATATTTTTGTCGTCGGCCTAAAAACCAAGCATACTACAGTTTCATTAACGTTTTTAACAGTGTCGTTGTAAATCTCATCAAATATTGTTGATAAATTAGGATTTTAAATGGAAAACCCCACGGTAACACTAAAGTTCGTATACGAATTTTAACATGCAAATGAAGACAATAATCAGCTCGTGTATGCGCTACCTCACGGTGTTATAGTTGCTATCCGGAACACAGCAAATATATGATTTTCTTGTGCAAACACACTTTTACCGTTTAAGCTTCACGGTGCACTAGGCCTGTGGTTCAGAAAAAAATAATCATCTCATAAAAAAGATTAAATTTGTATGAAAATATCCGTTACAATGCGGAAATATACCGTTAAATAAGGACTGCTACTTATAGTCATGTTTGTTGATTTAACATTGATGTATGGATGATCTGAAGGCGGAGTTTCTCATGCAAATAGAAATTGTACTTCCGAATTCGCCACAATGAGGTTGCACATTTGTATGCTCATTAAACTCATTTTGGTTGTCTGGACACCAAAATAAGATTTGGAGTCGATATGAAACCCAATTTATTAATGAAATGTCGCTATTTCTTTTTTTATGAAATTTATTTAATATAACTTTAATGTATTCTACTTCATAAAATGCCTGCATTAAAGGGTCTCCACTGCGGTTTTTTGACATGACGGGACTGGAAATAATTTTTTGAGATTATTACTCAATCTGATATAGACTTATACTATTAACCAATGTATAAAATCTCAGATCATTAGCTCGCTCTGTTTTTCAAGAATAATTATTAAAATAGTGAAAAATGACCCAAATTGAAAAGCTTTTAAAAGCTTTTCAGTCAAATCGAACTGAGAATAGCACAAACATATGATTTTCAATGTATTTCTTAATTATAATTTATTTATATTTCTGTTTTAAGTGCTCATGCTTATCTATGTGAAAAATTATATTTTTATGTTATTAGACTTATAAACCTCAGTGGAGTTCCTTTAAAGAGTCTCCACCAAGGATTTTTATATTTATGACGGGACTGGAAATACTTATTTGAGATTTATGTTCCGTTTGATGTAAGTCTACATCAATAACTTGTGTGCCAAATTTCAAATCATTCGCTCACTCCGTCTTTTCCAAACTAAATATTCAAGTTGTGAAAAGTGATACAAAATTGAAAAGCATTACAACGCTTTTCACTAGAATCGAGCTATGAATAGCAAAATTATTCCAGAGTATATTTCTAAATTATCTATAACATAAAGTGTCCCAGAAATTTAGCTGTTGGACCTCAGTGGAGTTCCTTTAAGTCTTAGATAATCTTTCCAACATTTAAGGTGGTGGAGGAAGGCCATATACATGTATTTAATTATTTCAGACATGATGATGCATTCAACCGTCATTCCGCAAGCCAGCTGGGTAGTTTCTCGTAATGAATTAATAAATATCAATTATATTTAACATAAAAGAGCACAACCATGTCCTTCTTAGTGTAGGCGATTGTCATTTAACCGAGTTCGTTCTACATTATAACTTAAAGTTTTTATCTATTGAATACATAAGCAAATATTTACCGTTCGCTTCATGTACTAATAACGTGCTTTTAAATAAGACAATTTATTGCGTTATATTTCTACATTTATGTGGACGAGCTTTAAATATAACTTTCTGAAATCTAAATGACGGTGTTAAAAAAAACACAGAACACGAAAAATACGAATAAATCATTTTTCGATTAAAATTATGAAATAATATTGCCTTTAATGAACCAAATAAAAGTTACATCAGTAAACGCTTGCTTAGTCGGAGGGAGTGGTACCTTACCTTAGTCTTTATATCGTTTGATTGATATACAAACGGTATGTATTCAGTGCATACTACATTATGTAATCTTTACGGAATATATACCGTCAAGTGTGTTACCGACGGCGATTATAAGAAATATACTACGTAAAATGTGCACGTTTAGTGACGTCAATAATTCACTAGCTCAATCTGATACATAATACTGTTTTCTGGATTTTTGTAAACTATTGTTATGGTTGATCTTGCTGTTGCTGTTGTATTGTTGTTTCTATTATTATTGTTGTTGTTGAATTTGTTGTTGTTGTTGTTGTTGTTGTTGATGATGATGATGATGATGATGATGATCATGATGATGACGATGATCATGATGATGATGAAATCGAAATAAGTAAACTCAGTCGGATATGAAAATCGTTCCGATTAAAAAGTAATCCTTCTAAGAGGGATTTTTCTACATTTGCACTTTGAAACAGTCTTCAAATTAAACAAGAGCTCATAACATATCTTTGTAACAGTAATATATGTATTTTGTGCAAATATCGAAAATAAATTCAGTTTTCATTTGAATTTATTGACATGCATAAATGCGTATGTAACAGGTATGATATACTTATTTATTGCTGAACAGGGAGGTGTTGCGGTATTCTTGTGCCTCTCCTAAATGTATATGTTTTACATTAAACTAGCTACAATGAATAAGTTTAAATTCCTCAATGTTTTCAACAAACGCCCAGCGATACATATATATATTTGTGTTAAAATTAATTTATGTTCTCAACATGCTAGGAATTGATTTTGTACTCAACAGTGCGTTTTGAATTTATTTACATAAAGTTGTTGTATTTAACTGATATACTTAAAATCACTTTTTAAAAATCATCTTTCAACGGACAGTAGATTGTTCAATGATTTTGACTGAACTCCACCTATATAACTAGGCCACGTAAAACGCATTAACTACAAAGTATACCATCGTCCTCAAGTTTTATCAAAGTTGAATATTTGGACCTGAACATGTGTGAATGAACTTGGTTTAATCTGTTAAGTAAGGATTTAAAATTTGAGTTTGCGAAATTTTCACTTACTATGGGAGGTTTAAACATTGCTGTTATTATTGGAATTCTAGGCGTAATTGTTTATTTTATGAGCTCATCAACGGAGAAGCTTACGGTTCAACATGTCAACAAAACATACGACTACATTGTGGTCGGGGCTGGTTCGGCTGGTTCCGTGGTTGCAGCGAGACTTTCCGAAGATCCAAAAGTCAGTGTTCTTCTAATTGAAGCTGGAGGTGAGGAAACAAACAACATAACCTTCTACAATGCTCCACTATTACCTCAGTTATTACAACAGTCTGAATCTGACTGGATTTACTACACATCACCTCAGAAGAATTCAGGAATGGCTAGCATAATTGGTGGAAACAGGCATTATTGGCCTCGTGGAAAAGTTCTAGGAGGAACGAGCATGTACAATAATATGCAGTATGTTAGAGGAAGCAAATATGACTATGATGAATGGGCAGAAAATGGTTGCGAAGGATGGAGTTATGACGAAGTATTACCGTACTTTTTGAAATCGGAGGACTTTTTAGGGAAAGATTTGAAAGATTCAAAATACCATAATGTAGGTGGACCAATGGGCGTGAGTCTTGAAACATTATTTGACAATCTTGTAAAGAGATTTGTAAAAGCTGGAAAGGAATTGGGATACAAAGAAAACAACGATTTGAATGGAGAGAATCAGCTTGGCTTTGGTGTAAGTCAAGTGTCAGTGAGAGATGGTGTACGAGCTAGTACTGTGAAAGAGTTTTTGCGTCCAGCTATGAAACGAAATAACTTACATGTTGTTGTTAATTCACATGTTACTAAAGTTAACATTAAGGACTGTACCGCAACTGGTATAACCTTTATTCAAGACGGCATTAAGAACACTGTAAATGCGAAAAAAGAAGTGATTTTATCTGCAGGTGCGATCGGATCGCCTCACATTCTAATGTTGTCAGGAATAGGTCCGAAGAAGCATTTGGATGACCTGAAAATTAATGTTCATCAGGATTTACCTGTTGGCAAAAATTTGCAAGACCATCTTTTTGTTCTTTATCCATCTGATGTAGTTGATTCTACAGAGCTGCTGAAAGGGACAGATGTCGAGAGTTTATTTTCATTTTTGCGATATCAATTATTTAACGGTGGTCCATGGTCGACAACGATGCTAGTTGGAACATCGTTCATCAAATCAAAGCAACAGGTTGAGAATTATCCAGACATTCAATTTCATATTGCTCCCGTCCAGCCAAATTTAGAGATTTTTAAGTTAAATGGTACATTTCTTCGAAGCGTATATCCTACTGGTATTAAAGATGGCTTAACTTTAATTCCAATTTTGTTGCATCCAAAGAGTCGTGGTTCAATTACATTGGCAAGTTCGGATCCGTTTGATTATCCAATTATTGATCCAAATTATCTCGCACATGACGACGACATCAATACTCTAAAAGAAGCTCTGAAGATATCAGAGAGGTTACTCGAAACTGAAAGCTTTAAGAAAATAGGGGCACATTCAGATAATTTCAAAAATGCAGAATTCTGTAAAGCACATGAATATAAGTCTGAAGGATTTTATGAATGTCTTGTTAGGAATTTAGCTCACACAGTTTATCACCCAACGTCAACATGTAAAATGGGACCTGATACTGACACTGACGCTGTCGTTGATTCTACATTGAAAGTTAGAGGAATAAAAGGTCTTCGAGTCGTCGATGCATCTATAATGCCAAATATCGTTTCTGGGAATACAAACGCGCCAACAATTATGATCGCAGAGAAAGCCGCTGATATGATTCTAGGTGTCGACACTGTAAAACATTTACGTAAACGTACATAAAGAGGGACATCTCGTATGGAACAAAAATTGCACAGTTAGTTTGCTGTGATTAATACTGTCGACATTCCGCTTTAAATCTGAATTGTCGACACATTCGACACATTCAATATCATTGATATATTGTTTTCAAATATCTGATATATTGTTTCTAAATATCTAATATATTGTTTTCAAATATTTGATAAATTGTTTTCAAATATTTGATATATTGTTTTCAAATATTTGATATATTGTTTACAAATATTTTATAATATTTTATGTCGTTTTTAAGACAGTCTAATAAGATTAATTAAAACAACACTCGTATGTACTTCCTGGATACAATCACTACCGTTGTAATTAACAACATATCCCAGAGACATGAGTAAGGTTTTTAAGTTCGATCTCTAGGTTAAACGGGCATGCATACACTTTAACCACTATTTCACTGTTCGATATAAATTTGTGGTAGCAATGTTACTATTCTTTAAAATTATGAAAATCTGCCGAAAATAAATGATCAAACATCCCTGATCACATTATGTTAAGTAATACATCCTTTTCCTTTTGATAATTTATATTAAGGGTATGATTGAATTAAATAGCTGCTGCTTGTTTTATTGTTACGCCTAGCTATATATTTAACGCCATACTCCGTCAAGAATAGTTTATATGTGCACACGGATGAATAACATTAACATAATATTATTGCATGGTTCTTTATTGATGGTTAACATCATTCATTTCTAAATTTATGTATTTATCATATCTTAACACTGTATAAAGGACGAGCAAAATAGTAGTTAGTGGAAAGAAGACTATTAAAACGAAATGTAGTTAATAAAGGGATATAAACGCTAAAGATTATGGGAAATATCTCAGGTTTTATTTAAAATATTATGTGATAGTTGAAGTAGTTGCAAGCAATATTGTGAAGACTTTTGTTTTGTTAAAATGTTGAGCCACTTCATGTCTATCAAAACTTGTTCATTATATTCTTTTATTTCCAACATGATTGATGTAACACGGGTATATTGTTTATAGCTTACTATAATATATTTTAATATGCCTATTGCAACAACTTGTTTGTTTTGTTTTTAGTTTGTTTAAATTTGTTTTTCAAAAAGAGTCTATCTTGATCTTTTAATGCCATTTATTGGATCATTATTTCACAATGAAAGCGAACACAATGTTTTCAACCTCACCTACCCGAGGTAAGAGAGCCGTATATTCCAATAAATCGTACCAATTTAGCCGCGAATAAGGCGTATGTTACATACCGCATAAATGACGTTATATATACTATACATGCTACTTCTGTTATTACAGTGGCGTGTTGAAATAATTAAGATACATTAATTTGAGGTAAACTATAATCGTAATAAGAGAGAAAACTGATGATAGATGAAACCTAAATATGGCTTAAATTTCTAATATGTTCATAGCAGAATTATTAATGAAAACTGTTTCACTACCTTAAATGAAAATGTTTTTGTCATGACCCCAATTTGATCCTTATATCTAATGTTATTCAATGATGAAACGTTCATTTATGCACAATATTTGTGTTTTGTTTATTTGTGTGTTGTGCGAATCAAAATAAAATACTCATCAAATAACAGTATAGTAGTGTTGACACAGACTAGTAATGAGTTATTATAACAGTCAACATCGAATTTTAGGCATATGCTTCCCTTTCTCGTCGAGGTTGCTCCAGATAATAAATCATAACAAACACTACACAAGTTGCTCCAGATAATACAACACTAATATTGTAATATGATATTTTGTCGTGTGTTATTAAACGGTTTTCATTGTAATAATTCAATCATGTTAATCTTGATTTTATCACTGAACACATTATCTCAAACCGTGTAATATAATGTTATATTAAACTTTCAATACAACATTGATTTCTATTTCTTTCAATTGTTATAAACATTGATTATATACAAATTTTGTATTCATAGCTTGAGGACAATGTTAAATGAAGAAACTATCAAATGTATACAAATTACAATACTGTACTAAACCAGATGATATGTAAAGTAAAAACATGACCATTTCTATATAACTATTTGGGGGCGTAAATGTGACAGTTTAGTTTTCTTTTGTTTTAGATGTAATTCGTGTATATAATAGCATCATAACATTCATATATAATCAGAACATGGCAATGTTAAGATTAGCAGCTATATTTGGATTATTAACTGTCATAGTTTATAATGTGGACATTTCACGTAAGTCTCTCACAGTAACAGATGTTAATAAAACATATGACTATATAATTGTGGGAGCCGGGTCGGCTGGTGCCGTACTTGCTACGAGACTATCCGAGGATCCAAATGTTACCGTGCTACTTATTGAAGCTGGAGGCGAGGAAACAGAGAATTTAACATTATTTAATATACCTTTATTTGGACCAATCTTACAACAGTCTCAAAACGATTGGAATTATTTAACAACACCTCAATCAAAATCTGGTCTGGCAAGTAATACTGGGGATAACAGGCACTATTGGCCTTCTGGAAAAGTTCTTGGAGGAACAAGTATGCTGAATGCTATGCAGTATGTTAGAGGAAGTCAGCACGACTATGACGAATGGGCAGAAAATGGATGTGATGGTTGGAGTTATAAAGACGTTCTACCTTATTTCTTAAAGTCTGAAGACTTTATAGGAGGAACTCTTATAAAATCCAACTATCACCATGCAGGTGGGCCAATGGCAGTTAGTCTTGAGACAGAGTTTTCTGATGTAACAAAACGTTTTATTAAAGCAGGAATAGAGCTAGGATATGAAGAAACAACGGACTATAACGGTAAGAAGCAACTAGGATTTGGAGTAAGTCAAGTTTCTGTACGGAACGGAATACGAGCAAGTGTAGCGAATGAGTTTTTGCGTCCTGTAATGAATCGCAAGAACCTACAAGTTCTTGTAAATGCATACGTGGCAAAAGTAAACATAAAACAGGGCGCTGCTACAGGTGTTTTGTGCATTCGGAAAGGAGCAAGAAAAACTATTCTATCTAAAAAAGAAGTGATATTATCCGCAGGCTCCATTGGTTCACCACACATTCTTCTTTTATCAGGGATAGGACCAAAGGAACAATTAGAACGTTTCAATATAACAGTGATTAAAGATCTTCCTGTTGGCAAAAATTTACAAGATCACATGCATATATCTTACCCATCAAATGTTAACACAACTACCAAAGTTATAAGTAATGGACTGTTACAACAAATCGAATACTTACTATTCCAAACAGGACCATTGTCTTCTACGGGTCTTGTTGGAACAGCGTTTATAAGAACTTCACATGTGCAAAAATATCCGGATATACAGTTACATATTGCTGTTGCCCAGCCTAGAACAGACAACATAAAATTAAATGCAACATTGCTTGCTAACGTGTATAATAAAGGGTTTAAAGAGGGTATAACATTGATACCAACGTTGTTGCATCCTAAAAGTCGTGGTACGATAACACTTAAAAGCACTGACCCTTTTGAACATCCAAATATTGATCCTAATTATCTAGATGACAGGGAAGATATTGAAGTTTTAAAAAGAGCAATTAAGATATCTGAAAAACTTCTTGAAACGGATAGTTTCAAACAAATAGGAACTCATTCGGACATATACAAGAGTGCGACTTTCTGTTCAATGTTTGAATATAAATCAGATGACTTTTACGAATGTCTGATAAAATATTTAGCTCAAACTGAATATCATCCAACATCAACGTGTAAAATGGGTCCTGACTCAGATCCCGAAGCTGTAGTCGACCTAACACTTACGGTTAAGGGAATTAGACAACTTAGAGTGGTAGACGCTTCAATAATGCCAAATATTGTGTCAGGTAACACAAATGCACCGACAATTATGATAGCAGAGAAGGCCGCGGACATGATTCGGGGTATTAATACTGTTAAAGCTATACGACAAGAATATGAACATTCATTGAAATAAAATAAAAGTAACAATATCGTCATCAAAGTGTAAATAGTGAATGCACAGGTAAAGTCTCAGAACTTTACAGTTTGCCATAATTGTTTGTATTTTGTATTCTACATCTCACAAACAATCAATAATCCTTATGGCTCATGGAAAATTCTATCCTTTACAGTGTTACGTTCAATTCTTAAAAGTAATGTGGCATTCTTTTTACATTATAGGCATTTTTTTTCCAAAATCATTTTTATGCATATAGCGTACCACTTGTTCGTCCGTCCGTCCGTACGTCTGTCCGTCCGGGCAAACATTTGATATTTATGAGCTTCATTCCGTAGTTAAATAAAGAACAAAAACTCATAAAATTCAAATTAAGAGCTATTTTTTTGTTTTTATGAGCTAATTTTGCTTATGGACTTTGGTCCAGGTGTAGTTTATGAGCTGATTTGCCTATTAAATATCAAAAATTGGTACGTCCGTCCGTACGTCTGTCCGTACGTCCCGAAATCTTGTGAACGCAACTCCTCTTAAACCGGATGGCAGATTTTGCTTAAACTTCCAGGGATGAACAACCTTAATGTGTAGATGGTAGTAAATGAAGGATTTTTTGCTGCGACCAAATTTAACAGAATTATGGCCCTTTGTTGATTTTTTCACTTTATACCATATAGAAATTTTGTGAACGCAGCTCCTCTCAAACCGGATGGCAGATTTTGCTGAAACTTCCAGGGATGAACAACCTTAGTGTGTAGATTGTAGTAAACGGAAGGAATTTTTGCTGCGACCAAATTTAACAGAATTATGGCCCTTTGTTTATTTTTTCACTATATACCATATATATGTTGTCGGTGGGGGCATCCGTGTCCTTTGGACACAGTTCTAGTTATTATTATTCGTATGTCAATGAAAATTATAATTATAGTTGATCTTTCCAAATATTAAATAAATTAAGTTCTAATTGACAACGAAAAACTTACGTAAACTTAAGAAAATACCTAATGACACTTTAAATGATATTCTACTTGTGTATTCTTGAGGGACCTTGATCTATTTCATAGCATGTATATCTAAGAATAGTTAAAAATACAACATTTGTTAGGTAAAGAAAAACAGAATCATTTATTATTACAAGCTGTTGTTCCCGTTTCCTTTCTATACGTATTCTACTTCATACTATTTTGTCACAGTATTTTTAATGCGGGTTTTATTTTTTTTTTACTTTTATTAATACTTGTAAATGTAAAAACATAATAGTAATTATACCCTTTTCCAAAATGAATAATAATACTGATAATAAAACGAAAATTTACTTGATATCAATCAAGCCGTATATTCACGATAAAATTAACGAACGCTTCCTCAAACTTGAATAGTATTAGCATTCATTTGTTTGTAAAATTTACTATTTTGACTGAATAGGTAGAACGTGCATTTTTTATACATAAACATATTCCTAAGTCAAATAAGATACATTCTTTTATCGATTTTTTTCCTTTGTGGCTATTATAAATGAAAGATTTTAAAGCCTTGCGGGTGAATTGATCACTAATTTATCACATAATTATCATTAAATCTAGGATGTTGCGTTTATTCGTTCTCTCTCGTGTACAGACTCAATCAAACAGAGTCTGCTTTTGTTGTTTTAATGGTTTCCAGAAAAACACTCTTTCTCTAGATTTATACACTTCACAACAAAGGATGTCAAGTGGCGTGTGGCAGATGTAAAACGTTGCCCCGTACTTGTAACATTTTTTCTGGTTCTTCGGGATTATTGATTCCTGCACAATAAATTAGTGTAAATGTTAAAAAAATTGAGTACCGCTCAAGCCGGTGATATGGGGCGTGAGGCCAGTGTACAAACTCAATCAGCCCGAGTCAGCAAATTCATGTAATTTTGGTGTTAAATGGTCCAAAAGATCACCCTTTTGCAGATATTCAAATATGTATTCAATGGAATGTGCACATTTACGTATGTTTCATTTCTTTCTTATTTTGAACATGTTGTTATGAGGTATGCAGTGAGTAAGTAAGTTTTTTTAAGGATGCAAGAATTAAAAAAAAAAACATCCCGGGTGAACTAGTATTATTAGTGCAGTGAAAGCTCAACTGATTAAACAAATTTATTTGATTTAAGAACATAACCATGTAAGTTATACATTACATCGATTAAGCATTTTACTTTTTTAACAAGTAAGAATTTAACTAGACCTTGTGCTCATTCACATATTAAGTATTTAAGTACTTATCAGAGAACGGAGTGATATAATGCATTTGCTGTCTTCTAAGAGTAACATTTTGAAAAAAAGGTGTGCTGAAAGTAACATGATGCTCGTCTCATGTTGAATCCTGCTTAAGCCGGTGCTAGGGGCGTGGGCGGTAACTTTCCACTACCGTCAATGAACAGACTCAATCAAACCGAGCCTGCATTATTTTCAATTTTGTCGTTTTGGACGTTCTTTGGGGATTCCGTTTTTCTCTACTAAAGTGTAAACGGTTGTTGTACAGGTCAAAGTTAAAATTACTCATATTTTGCCATAATTGTTTTCAATTTATAGTCTAGTTTATGTGTATTATTACTAGCCAACGTGCCTCACAGAAATTTTCTATAAATATTATTCGGAATGTATCCTTAATGTTCAATTTATAAAAAGAGCGAGGCAGTTTTTTTACATTTAAAGGAGTTTTTATATTTAATCTTTATATATTTCTTTCTAAATTATTTGTAAATGACCATCACAATAGTCGATCTTTCTAACCATATAGCCAATACATGTATATAATTCGGCTCATCTGCACAACGAGAAAATTAGTATAATGTCACTTAAAACAGCGTTATTGTAAATAATATTGAATATAGTACCTAACTGCCTATACCAGTTTTAATGTATCATGCAATACAAGGCGTCTCTAACAAAAGCGTCAACAATACCCCTTTACTTATAGACACGTTCGACTTAGAGGAGTTCAACAAAATATGTTTTCCAAACTGAAACAAAAACAACTTTAATGTGTACTTTGATATTTAATATATATGATAAATTAGATCAACAAGGACAGGCGGCGTTCCATGAACGCAACCCTGACATGACCTAGCAAAAACGACCAGCGACAAGGAGCCCAGGAGGACCCCAAACAAAAACAGGACATTGCACAAGGCAGAGCACGGATAGGGTAATCACTTTAATAATATATTTTAGGAAATAATAGTAACCAAAAAGGAAATCAAAGACAATCGATTGATTAATAGGAAACACACACTCAAATGTAATTTCTTCATTTTTGATTGTTAAGAACTTCAGACGGCAAATATATCTAAAATGACAGATAATAATCGCATTAGTACAGCATTACAAATAATGTCAACATTAAAATGTGCAATTTATAATATAGAACAAGTATATATGTTTCGATCGTCGTACATTTGCTTTTTGACACATATACACATTTGACATACTGATATCGCATATCTGATAACCAAGATTAACAAAATTTCCGATTGTAATGTCTCTCTTTTTATCTCATTATTAATGTAGGTAGGGGTGCAAAATATGTTAAACAAGATCGACAAGAAAAGGCGACGTTCAATGAATGCAACCCCCACACGACCAAGCAACAAAGTCATGCTTAACTTCTGAATTTAAATACTATCACATGCCTTGTGTCCTTTTGTGTATAAATCAAAACACAGGGTTACTAAACTTGATATATATAACAACATTATTGTTTAGTGAAAAGATGTAGATATAATATCGCAACCAGCGGTAGGTGTTCGTGATATTCAAATTTCTACTTTATCAAGAGCATTCCCTTAAAGATCCTGAACTCAATATATTGTCGTTTTATATCATAAATATAATGCTCAAATGAAGATTTATCAATATTGTAAGTTCCAAAAAGCACTATTTAAAAAGATATTACCGACTTTATAAAGGAGGTACATGTAATTAGAAATTAAATATTTTGTCTGAGACAATTTTTTCAATAAGAAATGAATGCATATACATGTATTTTAATGATTGCATATAATGTGAACAAAAAATGCAGTACATATTTTACATATTCTTCGATTTTTGAAAATTGTTTTAGAAGCACAATTATATACATATATTAAACTAAATTATGGGAACAACCCTAATTACAACATACAGGATCTTTAAAGGCATTTAAAGTTATTTTTTACTTGTATGTATCCATTCTCTTAAAAGGGCAAAAATTTGTTTTATGATGTTGTAATAACGGATTTGAAGATGTGAGATGCTTTTTACAGGAATCAAAAGTGCTTAAAATGAAATCATCCTTCCGTGATTTACGGTAGCAAAATGTAAACAAAGTGATATATAGACTTCCATACAAAATGCTTAATCACTCTAAGTATACTAATTTCAAAACGCAAAAGTAGCAAAATATCGGTTAGCTAAAATGCCATTAATTACATTTTAGGACCTTTAACATTACACCAAAATAAAAATAAAAAGCGGCTACGGATAAAAATGATAGCATTTGAAACGCCCAGTGTCTATGACCAATCAATAAAGGTTTAAGGATATCTGCGATGCATAATACATGATAGAAATTACGGCAAAATACGGTTGTTAATAACCTTGCCTAAAATACGTCATTAATTGTAACTAAAGATATTTTATTATTTATGTACCTCAGTTCAATGCATAAAAAGTGATTAGGTTAAAATAAATCTGGACTTCAGTAAAAAAACGTATTCCTATGCCATGCAGAAATAACACTATAAGTACACATAGATCAGAATTGCAATTGTTTTTGCAATGAATCATATTATCACAAGCCGATCATTCTGATAAAAAAAAAGTTTTGAACGTTTGAACGGACGAAGTTAAGGAAAGTGTCTACGTATAACTTACTGTATATACGGGATAAAATTGCAGTAACTTAAAGATAACTCTATTAGGAACTCAACACTATACGTCAATTATTATCATATTTTATGTAAATTATTAAACGTCATGTGTAGTTTACCTCTCGTGATATATGGAAACATACGAAATGTTATCGGCTCTGTTTGTACTGATGTGGGGGTCAGGACCTAGTTATTAATGTAAATAACCTACACAAAGTTTATATCAAATGTACGTTGAATTTAGTGAAATAAAGATCACATATTGGATTCATTATTTCAAATGAACTATCCGTGAATAAATAATTAAGATGGCAGGTTTTAGTTTGAAATACACATTTGTGGTAGCATTGTTAGCTTATATGATATATTACATGAACTCTCAATCGCAAATTTTGGTGGTAAACAAGGTAAACAGCACGTACGACTACATCGTAGTCGGGGCCGGTTCGGCCGGATCTGTGCTTGCAGCGAGACTCTCCGAAGATACAAATGTCAGTGTACTTCTTATTGAAGCCGGGGGCGAAGAAACAGACAATTTAACAGACTATAATACTCCACTTTTCGCACAACTTTTACAGAATTCTAAATCTGACTGGGCTTATTATACAACACCGCAAACCAACTCTGGAATGTCTAGTTTTCGTGGCAATAACAGGCATTATTGGCCACGTGGAAAAGTTCTAGGAGGGTCGAGTATGTACAATAATATGCAGTATGTTAGAGGAAGCAAATATGATTATGACGAATGGTCAAATAATGGCTGTGAAGGATGGAGTTATGACGAAGTGCTACCATATTTTCTTAAATCAGAGGACTTTATAGGACATGACTTAAAAACATCAAAATACCATAATGTCGGAGGACCTATGGGTGTGACTCTTGATACTGTATATGGAGCATTGGGAAATAGATTTGTAAAAGCGGGCGTGGAACTAGGTTATAATGAAAACAATGACTTTAATGGTGAGAATCAAATTGGATTTGGTATAAGTCAGGTGTCAGTGAGGGACGGAAAACGAGCAAGTACGGCGAGAGAATTTTTGCGTCCTGCTATGAGACGTAATAACTTACATGTTGTCGTAAACGCCCATGTTACTAAAATAAATATCGAACGAAAATCCGCTACAGGTGTCACATTCATAAAACAAGGAAAAAAGATAATCGTACGGGCAAGAAAGGAAGTAATTCTATCGGCTGGGGCCATTGGTTCACCTCAAATTCTTATGTTGTCAGGAATTGGACCTAAAGCTCATTTGGAAGAAATGAACATAGAGTTAATAAATGATCTTCCCGTTGGTAAAAACCTGCAAGATCATCTATTAATAATATTTCCGTCAGATGTTACTAGAACGGAGGAGGTTTTAACTAGATCCCAAGCTGAAGGGTGGTTCCCAAATGTACAATACTCAATGTTTAATTCCGGCGTGCTATCGTCGACAGGTACGGTTGGAACTGCGTTTATCAAGTCGAACGAACAAGTAGAAGAGTATCCTGATATTCAAATTCACATGGGTATCACTAAGCCAAATTTAGAATTGTTTAGTACATTGAATGCAACATTTCTTAGAAATGTGTACAACAAAAGGTTTAAAGAAGGTTTAGCTTTAATACCAATCTTGTTACATCCTAAAAGCCGAGGTGAAATTACATTGAAGAGCTCCGATCCATTTGATTATCCGGACATTGATCCTAATTACTTAGACCACCCTAAGGACATAGAGGTACTAAGGAAAGCTCTAAAGATATCTGAAAACTTACTCGACACAGAAAGTTTTAAACAAATAGGGACTAATTCGAACACATTTAAAAATGCAGACTTTTGTTCAATGCATGAATACGGGTCAGCAAGTTTTTATGAGTGTTTAATCAAGGCTTTAGCTCACACTGTTTATCACCCAACATCAACATGTAAAATGGGACCTGATACTGACCCTGAAGCTGTCGTTGACCCGACTTTAAAAGTTAGAGGAATAAAGGGACTCCGAGTTGTAGATGCCTCTATTATGCCAAATATTGTTTCTGGAAATACAAACGCACCGGTAATCATGATAGCAGAAAAGGCAGCTGATATGATTCGCAATACATAGCATTTATATTAATATAATATTGATTCTATTGCAGTAGTAAACACTATCAAGATTTGATGGAGCTAACAGACTTGTGTATATAAACAACTTTAAATTGTGCTCGATATAACTTCATCTGATACACTCGTATGTGAAAAACTATTCCTATGCCGTTTTCCTGTGTTTGTGTCTATAACTCGTTATAAACTATCATGATATCTATATAATGCAAAAGAATGATTTCCTTCAAGTCAATTAGATTAAATTGTACTTTGTTTTATAGGTGTAAATAGACTACACTGTATGGTAATAATATGACCTTGACCGTTTATCTGCCTTCACAAAGGTTATTTAAATGTAAGGGTACCGGTTCAAAATATATTAACAATATAGTATATGTGGTCTACATAATGATACCCTTACAATATTAATACAACAGCATAGGGAAATAGTCTATTTTACAAGTCTATATAGTCACAGAGTTATATATGCATTTTATATTTGTTTAATATTATAAAGTAATAAAAATTACCAAGAAAATTTTAATTCAATTACTTTGAAACAAATGTCGGACCTAATATTTCGCTTGGACGTTTAGAGACTACAGAGATTTTGGGCAATCCTTTCAGTGACAACTGATTAATGTATTCGAGGTTATGAAATATTAAATGCATGCCTTCATTGAATGTCGCCGTTCCACGTTCATCTTTGTTCTTAAATATCAACGATGATTGATAAAAGAATGCAATACTAATTTTTCAGTTTTTCTAGACTCCAGTACCGTCCATGAACAGGCTCAATCAAACCGAGCCTGCAACATTTTCAATTTTGCCGTGTTGGGCTTTCTTTAGGGATTCTGTTTTTCACTATTTTAGTACAAAATTTTATTTATGGATGCTAAACCTACAGTTAAACTTGTTTAATAGCTTTCTTTGATAGTCTACACATAACTGTAAAATAATAACAATGGCCATTGTATAACTCGTTTAAAAAAGCATACAAATGAGGTGAAGAAAGTTGAAACTGAAGCAAATACACACTTTGATCAATTATCATTATTGAGACATTATTTAACATTACGGAATATAATATAAACAAGGTTTTGTGAGGATGTTGCACTTCTTATCCATTATCTCTCATGTACAGACTCAATGAAACTGAGTCTGCAATTTTCATGTAATTTTGTTGTGATTAATGCTTCCGAGGTATCACTTTGTTTCCAAATTTTTAGATTAAAACACCTGCATGAAATTATATTGCAAAAAGGTATTTATGTAAAACCACATATCCAGAAAACGCACTTCAACAAGATTATGAATAGAAATGGTTTTTAAATTTTGCTCTTGCCCAAGCGTTTCATTGTAAGTTTTTTCCGAAATCTCGATGTTATGCATTATAGAAGACTTTTACCGTCATTTGAAGTTGATGTTGGAAGAAACCGAATATTTTCTTATTAAAATTGATAGCTTAGGACTTCACTTTTAAGTGTTGGAAATTGAGTACCGATATAGCCGGTACAAAGGGGCATGAGAAATTTTGCAGTTTTTCATTTACCCTCATGTACACACTCAATCAAACAAAGTCTGCAGTTTTCATGTAATTTTGTTGTGATTCATGCTTCTGAGGCATCACACTTTCACCAGATTTTTAAATTTCAATTATAATTCAAACGGTTGTAAACCGATAACTGGCAGCATGTCGACGTCCCACGTCGATAAATGTAAACAACATGTCTAGCTTTGAAGTTTTTGAAAGTAATCATTGATGTAATAATCTGTATAGGTGGAAAGTTTATTCTTCAGGTTTGAAAATTGGAAAAGGAGAGGTATATGACAAGATTGAGTAACGTTGTAGAATAACGATGAATGATAGTATGATAGAGTTGCAAGTGACATTTTCCTGTGCTGTTGCAAATGCTTTGAATTTTTATCTGCCAAAATATTATACAATTACAAAATTTTTAATATGATTTGTTTTATATCAAAAGTATAAATTTTCTTTACTCACTTGAATGTGCTTACTTCTATTCTTGCTGATGTAATACTTTTGATTATCTTTTTTCGGCAAAGAAATAATTATTTTGCACTGTTTCATTTCTTGTCTTGTCAATGTTGGGCTTATTTTATATATAGCTACACCTGTGAAATGTAGAGGACTTCAGGTCACCCAGCTGTAAAATGTTGCCCCGTACTTCACTTCAGTGTTGTTTTATTTTTCTGGTCGTTCGGGATCCTTGATGCCAGCACTATTGAGTGTTGAGAATTGACTACCGCTCAAGCCGGTGCTAGGGGGCGTGAGGGATGTTGCACTTATTCATTATCCCTCATGTACATACTCAATCAAACTGAGTCTGCGATTTTCTTGTAATTTTGATGTGATTAATGCTTCCGAGTCTCCACTTTGTTTCCAGATTTGTTTTGTCCTAAAGCATTTCTATGCAAATATGCTTATTGTATTTCCGATTTAAGTTTAAGGCAATCAATAACTTTAGAGCAGTTTAAAGTCCTCAACTTCACTTCTTCTAGGCTAGAGACTCAGACATTACAAAATAACGCAAATGGCCGATGTTAAATAGATGAAATAAAATTACATATTTTTGTTGCATTTTCACATCTTAATCAATTTTAGCCAAACTCGGATAAATTGAGTCTGGTCATGAGAGGTAAAAGATAGTGCAACCTCTCTTACGCCCCCATCCCCTATAGCGGGCTTTAAATGGGATCCTTAAGGACCAAAAAAGTAAATATACATTATACATGCTTTAAGTAAGTTAGAAAAGGTTAATTAATTTATTTGTAATATAGAGATCATAATCGATATAAAACCAACTCAAATTACAATCAATATATAAAGTATATATCGGTAGAGTTTATAAATTTCATAATTAAGAAAGATTATTCACCGTCCTTATTGCAAAGCAAATTGAAGATGTTTAAGCCAGGATCCGTGCGAATGAATACAAAACTTTTAATAATATGTACGTTTCCTATGTTAATCTATTACAACATGTACTTGTTTTTGTATGTTTTATTTGCCAGGGCAATTTGAATATACTATGATGCGGCATGTAATGTACCCATCTATAATTGTTATATATGTATATACGAGTCCACCATTCTATTTTCAAAATTGCTGAAATCTAAACTTTATCAAAATATGTGATTATAGTATGTGTTTTGCGTATAAGCTAATACTGTTGAACTACTGTATATTGCATCTCTTGAAATAATGTTCCATATGAAAAATTTGTACATTTATATGGTAAGATTTTTTAAGTTTTAAGTATTATAGGATTTTAGGTACATGTATTTCATAGGTTGTTACTTACCCTAACATTTTAAACGTAATGTGTTTGTACCCATACTTGACTTATAAAAATAGAAAATTCAGCACACATCTGTTTTGGTACATTCAAAATGTTGCTCATTCAAACTATATCTTAATTTCCATGTCTATATATATTATGATCATTCGTAAGTATTTGGTCAAGTACAATCTTATCGGCATTGTGTATATACTGATGCGGTGGGTCAGAATGTACCTTGTACAATTACATCAAACGAACGTGACATGAGGTAGAGAAACTAGGATCACATAACGGATATTAATATAAACATCTACAAATAAAATTTTCGAATGAAAAGAATTAAGATGGCTGATTTCGGTATAACACACATATTTATTGCAGCGATGTCAGTTTACATAATCTTTTATATGCACTCTACGTCAGAATTGCTTGTAGTGAATACAGTGAACAGTTCATACGACTACATTATTGTTGGGGCTGGTACAGCTGGATCCGTGATTGCAGCAAGAATGTCCGAAGATCCAAATGTCAGTGTACTTCTAATTGAAGCCGGGGGCGAAGAAACAGAAAATTTAACATACTATAATACTCCACTTTTCGCACAATTTTTACAGAATTCCAAGTCTGACTGGGCTTATTATACAACACCACAAACCAACTCTGGAATGTCTAGCTTTCGTGGCAACAACATACATTATTGGCCGCGTGGAAAAGTTCTAGGAGGAACAAGCATGTACAACCATATGCAGTATGTTAGAGGAAGCAAATATGACTATGATGAATGGGCAGAAAATGGCTGCGAAGGATGGAGTTATGACGAGGTCCTACCGTACTTTTTGAAATCTGAAGACTTTTTAGGGCAAGAACTGAAGACCTCGAAATACCATAATGTAGGCGGACCTATGGGTGTGACTTTTGACACCGTGTTTGCAGTTTTTAGCCAAAGGTTTGTAAATGCAGGTATAGAATTGGGTTATAATGAAACAAAGGATTTTAATGGTGAGAATCAACTTGGTTTTGGAATAAGTCAGGTAACCGTTAGAAATGGAATAAGAGCAAGTACGGCGAGGGAATTCTTGCGCCCAGCTATGAGACGAAATAACTTACATGTTGTCGTAAACGCCCATGTTACTAAAATAAACACCGAACGAAAATCCGCTACAGGTGTCACATTCATAAAACAAGGGAAAAAGATAATCGTACGGGCAAGAAAGGAAGTAATTCTATCGGCTGGGGCAATTGGTTCACCTCAAATTCTTATGCTGTCAGGAATAGGACCTAGAGCTCATCTTGAAGAAATGAACATAAGCATAGTCAAAGATCTTCCTGTTGGTAAAAACCTGCAAGACCATCTCGTCGTGTTATATCCGTCGGATGTCACTAAACCAGAAGAAATATTAAGTAAGTCCCAAGCAGAAGGATGGCTATCAAACGTAGAATATTCATTGTTTAATTCTGGTGTTTTATCGTCTACAGGAGCTGTTGGAACTGCGTTTGTAAAGACGGACGGACAGATGGAACTATATCCTGATATTCAATTTCATGCTGGGGTCACGCAACCTAATTTAGATACTTTAAAATTGAACCAGACATTTCTTGGTAATGTGTATAATAAAGGGTTTACAGAAGGCTTAGTCTTGTTTCCAATGTTGCTACATCCCAAAAGCCGAGGTGAAATTACACTGAAGAGCTCCGATCCATTTGATTATCCGGAAATTAATCCCAATTACTTAGACCATCCTCAGGACATAGAGGTGCTAAGGAAAGCTCTAAAGATATCTGAAAACTTACTCGACACAGAAAGTTTTAAACAAATTGGAACGAATTCGAACATATTTAAGAATGCCGACTTCTGTTCAATGCATGAATACAGGTCAGAAAGTTTTTATGAGTGTTTAATCAGGGCTTTAGCTCATACTGTTTATCACCCAACATCAACATGTAAAATGGGACCTGATACTGATCCTGAAGCTGTCGTTGACCCGACATTAAAAGTTAAAGGAATAAAAGGACTTCGCGTTGTAGATGCCTCGATTATGCCAAATATTGTCTCTGGAAATACAAACGCGCCAGTAATCATGATCGCAGAGAAAGCTGCTGATATTATTCGCGCTACATAACATCCTTATTAATATATATATTAAGTAATAACCACTTTGTACATACGTGAAGAGTTCAGATCTTTGTGAACAACTTTAACTGCTTTTTTGTTACTATGTGACAGTTATTGAATTTTAAGATGATTTGAAGATTTTATAAAACAGTTTCTACTTTTTATCAACAACTCCTTATAAAAAACTGAATATCTCGTATAAAAGAAGGATTTCCTTCATTCAGAAATTAATATATATTTTTTCTTTATAACTATAAATAAACATGTCTACTGTATCATTGACCTATTACGAATGGTTTATTCCTGGTGTGAGGGGTTCGGTCAACAATAAAATTTCAATGAATTACATATATTAGAAACATACAAAATGCAAAAAATGTATATGCGTGTTAATATAGATCAAAGACATATATTAAGTAAATCAGAACAAATTTATTCCAAGAATATACATTGCAATACATCATTTTGGCGTTTCATACATAAATATCTAAAAATATCAATCGTGCGCGTTTCATAAAATATACTAAAAGTACTTTAATATTATATACTTATACATGTATTTATATTAAACGCACACACATTTAATTATTTATGTCTATTCAGCCATAAACTGTTCGCAGCAGATATTTGCCCTGATACACCAGCTTAGCGTGACAGTTACTGTGAGATCTTTAAATGTTGAATTCTGCTTAAGCCGGCGGTGCAAGGGGGCGTGGACGGTAGATTTCACATGACAGTACCGACCATAAACAGGCTCAATCAAACAGAGCCTGCAACATTTTCAATTCTGCCGTTTTGGACATTCTTTTAGGGATTCTTTTTTTCTCTATTTCAGTTACATCTTTCTGTACGCTCAGTACGTTCTTCTGAATACTGTTTAAACTGATGCAGGGTACATGACAGGTATATTGTATTTTGTTTATCTCTCATGAACGGAAGAGATCGAACCGAACCTGCAATGTTCAATTTATAGCTTTTTGTTTTCTCTTGGGATATCACCTTTTTCAAATCTTTTTTATTATTATTTTTATTCGGGCCGCTAAGAAGCTGGATTTGATAGTAAAAAAACGCCACTAGTATATATACTGTTTTAAAGCTCACTCGACGAAATAAAATTTCATATTAAACACAAACAAACAAATATCTTATGTGTATTGACTGCAGCGTTCACCCTTATCAAAACATTATTACTGTCATCCGGTGGTTAATCACCTGCCTGTGAGCTGGAGGAGATCTTGATCTATCAACATGCTTGAATGATGGCAAATATGAAGGAATTCGTTCTTGGTCACTTTCTTTTAATTGTATTTTATATTTGAGACTGCTTTGTTAATTAACTCTTGAATATCTGAAATAGATTCATTGATGGAAAAATTATTATATTATTATTATTATTATTATTATTATTATTATTATTATTATTATTATTATTATAAAAAAGCATTATTTCAAATAATACATTTACTCTGGTAAATCGGCTTATTTCTAATCAGTCAAGTTAATTGACTTTTTATAAACAAAAGATTAAAACACTCATTGTTGAGTGTAAATCAATCGCCTAAACATAATATAACGGGATTTTGCATCGTCCAAAAGGTCCCATAAAAAGCACTAGTTAGAAAGTAAAGGAAATAACATCATTTACAACCTCACATTTCAAAGGTTTTCTCGGTCTACGGGAGGGGACATCCCTCCCACATCCATATCGCTCACGTACATTCTTTATTTCAATTTCACCAATCAAACACACGTTTGAATAGCAGTATAAACAATATACAAGAAGTACATTGCCACTCATAAGATGAGATAATATATATTAAGATATATCTATTACATTTTTGCCACATGTGCAAAATGCTGACCCAGACACTTTTCACCTGTTGCATTGTTTTCCATTGTGTTTATCAAAATCTTTCACCGATATTTAGGCCTTAACCCTGTTCTGTGTCCGCCCCTGGTTTATGACTATTTCTCATATTTCTAAATCTTGAAGATCTTTCTGTAGGGATACATGTATACTATTGTTTACATACATTAAGTGGCTGGTCATCTTACGTCATAGTATTATTGATCAGCAAACATTTGACAACTTCTAGTAGACGTCTAGGAAGAGACCATTCCTAAGGACGGATCCCAGAAAGGGCCTTGGTGTCATTGGACAGGTTATTACGTACCTTGTACATCTTCCTTTTTGACCGGTTTTACGAGAAGAATTTAAAATTCAATTAATATACATGTAAGGGTCTAATATTTAGACTTTCTGAAATTCAGCTGAAAATAAGCATTTACAAGTTTTGAATGCCTTGGAATAATCCCAGACAATGACATTAGCCTGGCTTTATATATGATTCTGGGTTGTTAAGACGTCCTTGCGTGAAATTAACTTGTATGGATTCGCAGTTATCAACCTGAATAAAACAGAGAGAATGCTGGTACTGACTATGGATGTTGTTTTATCAGGAGGACATGAGATTAGCACAATTATATATGTGTTCTAACAGCTGAGATACATTATAAAAATCTTGATAAAGTGTGATCCATCGGATTTAAGCATACATAACTACAAAATTAAATGAAAACTGAAGACTCAGTTTTATTGAGTCTGCACAGGAGGGATAATGAAAAGGTGCAACATCCATCACGCCCTCTAGCACCAGCTTGAGTGGTACTCAATTTCAACACTTAAAAGAGCTGAAATCAATGATCCCGAAGGACCAGAAAAATATAACAACAGATCATCATGCTAAATCTGTTGATAAACAATAAGTCTGAAATTTCTTTTCTCATGGACCATGTTTTGAAGACTTGTGCTACAATACAATGAAACTGTTATGAAGTATTCATGGATAACTCGAGCTGGTGTAATTTCATGATGAAGTTGACACGGTGTGATTATTCATCAGCAAACTTAATTATGGGGATAAATATATAATCCCAGCTGGATATTTTCAACACATTTTCCTTTCCTGTTTTTGTCCATAGATAATTTCCAAATTATCAGGTCATTTTATGGGGCGAATCGCGATTTGTACGAAAATTATTGGGACCTTGGTACAAAGTTATTATTACGACGTGAATTTAACATGCTCAATTTCGCGCCATAATTGCATAAAAAATAAGGTCGGAGAATCAATGCAAAAATGCCGTCAACAAGGAAAAAAAAGGAAGAACCTGTCGACGTTGATGGCACAATTGATGACGGTGACAAAGAAACGAAGAAGCAACCGTTTGTTGTAAAAGATCCGACGCAGTGGCTTTTCATAGCGAAAGGTATGGAAAGATTCGTCCTACAATTCATTCTTACCATAAGTCATAACTCATTGTAACCAGATAACTTTAACGGGAATAACTTCATATGACTAAATCGTAAACGAAGTTTGTAATAAAGTTGATGAGCTCTTATTATACAAATTAATTATTCATTGACTGGTTTTTGTTGCATAATTTTTGGTGGGTTGGTATACTTTGCAGATCTATAGTCAAAATATATTGACGTGCCAAAGCTTGATTCTGAGATATTTTCTTTCTGGGGCAGAATCTCGCTTTAAAGGGACTCCACTGAGGTTTAAAAGCATAAAAACATAACATTTAAATTTCTGGGGCACTTTATTCAGAAATATATGCAAAGATAGTTAAGAAATTAAATTTGAAATAAATTGAAAATCGTATTTTTATGCTTTTCTTAGCCTGATTTGAGTGAAAAGCGTTTAAACGCTTTTCATTTTGGGTCATTTTTTTGCAATTTGAATAATCATTCTGGAGAAACAAAGTGCTTGAATGATCTGAAATTTTGCACAAAGATTAGTGGTCTAAACCTACATCAAATGGCACATTTATCTTGAAAAAATATTTTCAGTCCCATAATGTCAAAAAACCTCAGTGGAGTCCCTTTAACGTCAAAAACCAAAAGGAGACCTTTCTGTGGTGAAACGTGGATTTCAATGTTAATGTAAAAATGCAGACAATTTAAACTAAGAATCTATTCAACAATACAATTTGAAGGAATCAACAGCACAAAATGTGCTTGACTATCAACTTAGAAGTAAGTAAACTACGTTAGTTTCATTTCACCGTCTCGTTTGTGTACCAACGCCGCCATATTGTGATGTTGCTACAGTAGTGTAACATGTACGCTAAAAATCGATATTGTTCGGTACCGTGCGTGAATGTTGTCAATTTTTTTTTTTGCGTGACAAAAAAAATATGAAAAACTGTTAAACAGTGCTAGTATTATTCTTTAATGTTGTTATTATTAATCATATTTATTGCTACATTAAAATAAATCGCCAGGAAATAATCTTTAACTATTTTTTCTAATTGATTGAAATCTTTAAAATGATGCGGAGAAACTTTTAATGTAGACCTCTTTTTTATAAACATGTTTACTAAAGGATAAACAAATACTGTATTTCATTAAAATATATATTGTCTACACTCTGTAGTACTATCTATGTTAGAATAATTATGTTAGTTACAACTTGCTGCGTATTAAAATCAGCAACTCCTTGCCTAGAAAGATTTGTTTTCCAAACGTGCATTACGCTATGAAAGATTTTTTGAATTCAAATGGTAAATTCTTGCGTTAATTTTTCATTCCTCAACAGTTTTCAGAAAAGTAAAACTCGTTACGCCGAGCGCCCATTTTTCGTTTGTCTGCGTGTACATGTACCATTTATCCTTGTAATAAAAGACTATAATCATAGCATGCCGTAATGGCCTGGATATTTGGGTGTTGTTTAAGCGATGTTCCAGAAAAGTTTTTGTTCCGGAATAGAAAATATATTCAACCATGTATTTATTTTTGAAACGTTACGTGTCAACTATTCCACAACGCCGACACCGGTACGCTGACCAATATACACTTCGGAAATGTTGACACTGCGCAGTTCTGTTTCTTCCTTACTTAAATTCTTTGTGTCAACTTAAAATTTATAAGATTAAGTTTTAGATAAATTTGATTTAAAGAAAAGTATTTAAATTGGAGCCGTGATTTCTATCCGGAATCAGTTGAACAATTTTCCATGCTGACATGGTCCAAATTGTAAAGAAAAGTTATTTTTAGATTGTAATTACATGTATTTATTTTTCAATTTATAATTATTAATATACTTGATGATTCATTTTAAAGACGATTATCTTATGCTTAAATTTCTTTCTATAATTCATTTATGAAAATTGTTTAAACGGTGGTAAGAATTTAAATGTGTTACAGCCACGAGTTTCCTCGGTATATTTTCCCGGCTCTGAATTAACGCAAGATATACCAACTTTTTAAGTTTTGTGTTGTGACATTTAATATTTAGGAACTATTTTCTGGTTTTCTATCTAAATTCACTAGAATGTTAAAAATTATTGAAAAAAAAAAGAACTGAAGAGGCGCCGTGTTTTCTTACCGATTTTAAAAGTTCGTTTTCCAAAGCAACAACTTTAATACTTGGGGCAGTAGCAATCTGTATCATATTATTGTTTAAAATGAGTAAACGTGTTGCATAACCCTTAAATCTTATATGATTGGACAAGAATCAAAGAAATCACAGACACTTTGGGTGTGTAGCTCAAAACGCCTTTAAAATCCAAATGAAATGTATATTTGTCAACGTTGGGGTGCCACGTTTGAATTTGTCAAAAGATTTTGTAAATGGAGTAAAACGGCGATAATCTCGATGTTTATTTCAGCTGTTGCGTTGTTTATATTCATGTGGAAGTTTAAAATTGACCATCATCATGAAGAATTATATCTTCTGTGTCTGTGGGCCAAAGGATTATGTGAAAATTTGGAAACGGAATAAAATACATGGTGTTTTGATGGGAAATGTGCGGATTTTTTCCGGCGAACATTTTTATCTTGTGTATTTATCTTGTGTATTATTATAGACGCTGAAATATGATTTTTTTTCAAAACGGCTTATATTAAGTATTCTTATATATATATACATGTGCTGGGATTGACAAATATGCATTTCTTTATTTTAAATCGTTTTGAGCTCCACACCCTACACCTCTGTGGCGCAGCGTTTTGTTTATGTAACATTGTAAAATAACCGCCTTGATTCTTCAAATCGCACTTCGCCATGCGTGTATTTTATAAAAGAAAATAATTTCTAAGACGCCATAAAAGTGAAATGTATGGAATAAATCTTTACTGCATACCAACATTATGAAAGTCTTTTGCAAAACAAAAAACAACAAAAAAAATGAAGCGGGCACCTGTTTCATGAAATAAATTTCCGAGTATTTTTCCCTGTACCACGGTCATTTTAAAACAATTTCATACCTACGTGTGTGTGCGTGTGTGTGTGTTTTTCTTTCTATAATCATCTTCAGAAAGCTTTTTGGAATAAACTAGCAAGAATTATGGACCTGCGTGGATAAGAAAATAATAATAAAAAAATCACATGGAATGTTGTTTCTGCACATACATGTATAATGTCGAGGCACCGCGTTTGACATTTATTCGTTTTATACCGTGTTTGACATTTATTCGTTTTATTATAGATAAAAAATATTTTGAACATTGAAAATATTGTTTAATAGTTAATCAACATTAATATAAATAACAGACTGTCAAATTCCTTAGAATGGCGTCCTCTGGTAGTCGCTAAGGCACAAGGAATCTGTTCGTTGCTCTTTAAACATATAAGCCTTGTGTTTCTGCTATTAACATATTCCTATTTTCATCATAATCGTGGGGAAAAAATCTAAAGTTACCAATAGGTCCAATGTCCTATATTTACTGGGAAAGCTGAACGAAATAATTTTTTTTATAAACAAGAAAATATTTTGTGAGGAGTCCATTTACTGAGTAGCTTTTCTAAAAAGATAATGATGATTCTGATATTTCTAAGAACGCTCTGACAATAACGAATAAGTTTTGCATCTACCCAAATAAAATAATATTTTCATCCTTTCATAGTATTTTTTTGCATAAATAAATGTCTTAAATATAACATTAAACTTAATATTTTACTAAGAGTGTTTCGGCGTTTCTCAGTAATGCAGTACCGCATACACACCAGTGTAGTAATCAACAGTGTTTTTGTCACGTGACGTTAGCGGCGATGTCTGTATTTTGATGGTTCATGTGTTTACTTTTCTATCAAAATCTTTATGTTAGGAATATTTTCACAAATAAAACATGAAATAGATGTAGAAATGAATAATCTTTAAAGGTATCGTAACAAATTTATTAAAATATGAATTCTAATACGATTTTAGATGGTCCAAAGCTTGCGCTCAAAATCCCGGCGCTAATTTCACCACAGAAAAGGTACTTTTTATGTTGTACGTAGAGGCGAGATATTGCCCAGACACGAAAATAGCACAATATCTCGTCGCGCAGTACAATTAGTTGGACTAACTTTGCAGACGGACTTTGCAGGCAAGTTAAACTTAAACAAAGAGTGATTTTGCAGACAAGTTAAAGAAAGAAGGGTTTTAGACTTTGCAGACAATATAGATTATATATTATTTTTATCCATTTTGATGCTTCTTGTTCATTCATTCATTCTTATTTATTTTTGTGGTTGTTTATTTGACAGATGAGGTTATTAAGCTAGATCCAAACACCAATCCTGAATCTATTGTATGTGGACTTAAACATCCTAGAACAGGTGTGTATAAAGTACTATTAACACGATCATCATGTTAGTTAATAAAATTATCCTTATGATTAAGAATGTAAAAAGATGCATTTATTAAGGTATAGCTATACTATAGAATATTTATATCTTTAATTTATTATTTGTCATTAATATTTTACCTTGTTCCATCATGATGTGCATGTATTGACTAACAGAAAGTAAGACCACAGGAACCCGAAATTCTATCCAAAACAAAAAAATAACGATTTTAAAAAAATCCATATATACTATAAAAAAACACAAGAAATGCAACAACATTTCCCCACCCATGATTTGATTTAGTGTGCTCGGACGTAAATTCCAGGCGTTTTTACAAATATTCCTTGTAAATGTAGCGGTGGGTGGGGAAATGTTGTTGCCTTCCTTGTGTTTTTTTATAGTATATATATATATGGGATTTTTTTTAAATCGTTATTTTTTTGTTTTGGATAGAATTTCAGGATTCTGTGATAAGACATCATTCTAGTCTAGTTAAGGTATAGTCTAGTTAAGGTTCAAAATTTAATGAGGTCTTTTCATGTTTTAAGCCCCACTTAAATGCAAAATATGCTGTAATTTTCAGTTCTAAAAAAACTTATTATGACTCTAAATGAAAATGAAATAACATACATATGAAAAAAATGTTTTGCAGAATTAACCTCAAAACTCGGATTAAGTCATTAATAATTATTACAGATGTAAGTTGCTCAAAAAGAAAAGTAATATTGAAATATTTAAGAATTTTTAAGTTTAAATTTTGGGAGTTACACATTCATGATCACAAAATCATTGTGTAATATGCCCGTAAGTCAAACTTTTAACTCTTTGAATTTGGAACAGTCTATTCAATATTTAAGGGTTTTTGGTGTAGTAGAAAAAAATGAGCCATCTACTTCTAGCAACATTTGAGAGCCCGGTCAGATTGCATGGTTATGCAGGCTCGATTGGCTTTATATTGGCCATTATTGGCAAAGGCTAATCACTTTCCGTTCCAGAGTAGGTAAATTAGAGCTGTCATTGATTCAGTGCAAAGCATATCAACGATATATCGATATCAAGTAACTAAAATCAACGATACACTGATATATCGATAATATCCTATACTCACTTGTCTGTCATTCATTTTCATACCTGTTTCAATGATTTCAGTCAAAAACATGTTCTGTACAGTGTTTTGTCCACTGCATGATTTTTTCTAGACAATATTTTTGTGACCATTGCTATGAAATGATTCCACTATATAACAAAAGCATCACATTTGATATAAATAATTGTTTCTGCATATATTTTGGGTGAATTGTATAATTTCTAGACATTTAATTTATAAGTCAAAAGTATCGATTTTTTAAAATGTGTATCGATTATTGATCAACAAAAATATATCAACGATACATCGATATTGTCGATATCGATGACAGCTCTAAGGTAAATGGTTAGAAGCTGTACAGTAATAAGGTAGTAATACTTTAATAGTACTTGAAATTATGTTTGTTTCAGGGCAGAGATGTTTGTTTTTATTTAGCAATGAAGACAAAGATATTTATGAGATAGTACAGTTTAAAGAAGAATTTAGGTCCTGGTTTATTGGGGAAACAGTTCAACATGGTGAGTGTTGCACATGTATGCTATGTCAATTTTGATTGGTTCATCAGATATTTTGGGGCGTCCGTGGCCGAGTGGTTAAGGTCGTTGACTTCAAACCACTTGCCCTTCACCGCTGTGGGTTCGAATCCCTACAGGGACTTTGAATTCTTTCATGTGAGGAAGCTATCCAGCTAGCTTACGGAACGTCAATGGTTCAACTCGGGTGCCCGTTCGTGTCTGAAATAATTCACGGAAGGGTACCTGAGGTCTTCATTTACCAGTAAAGTTGGAACGTCGCCAAATGACCTATACTGTGTCGGTGTACAAACAAACAAAACATTAGATATTTTGAGTAAATTGAAGGTGAATGAAATAATATACAATATCTCCCACCACAAATTAATAATAATTATAATTACTTCAAATATAATGAATTCATAAACAGTGTTCAATCTAGAACAAATTCCCAGGGGGCCCTTCGGGCCCATAAACTTTTCAAAAGGGGGTCATTTGAGAAAAAATGGGGCCCACACTTAAATGAACATCAAATTCAAATAAGGTATTGTATCTTTTAAGTTACTTGTTCACGTACCATATTTAGACCAAGAACGGTTGCAAAATTCCAAAACAACTCAACTAAAAAAATGACATTAGCGTTGATACAGGCTCAATTTTAAGAACTGATTGGTAAAGAAACGCGATGACATAATGTTCAAAGAAAAATATGAATCTTATTTAATTTTAATGTTACCAGGGATATTTGATAATAATGTTCAGTTTTTTAATCAGCGCCCGATATATAACGGAAAATCATATTTTGAAATTAGCTTTGTTTATGAAGAATATAAACTTACAATAGTCGCTAAAAACATTTACCCTTCTCAATATATCCAAGCGAAAAACAAAGTGTCAACAGGTGCTAAGACAATGTATATTGACATACCGGTACCTTTGATCTTTTGTCAGGGCAGCAGTTCTTCCGTCACGCTTAAGCTGTCTGTATTGATTAATGATATGCACAGTGTTTTAGTGCCGACCAGCCAAAGACCAATCAAAGTTAATTTACTTAATTGTCAAACACTCCCTAGCCAATCGTGTTTGATTGCTCCATCTTTAAGACTTTTTTAATTGGATGAAGGCGTGTTCGTAATAATTTATGCACACTTCTCTATAATTAACTCGCACTTTCCACAAATATATATATATTTTTTTTCCTTTGGATAGTTATTACATATTTATTTGTTTTGACCGTGAAAAAACTATAACTACATGCACGTATTGGATTATCTGTGACGATTTCAGGGTTCCCACGCTGTCCGGGAAAACGGGAAATGTCCGTGAATTTGAAAACAGGAGCTCCCGGCCTTGAAAAGTCCGGGAATTAGTGTTGATACATAAAAAAGTCCGGGAAGGTACGGGAATTAGTCTGGAAAAGGGGAAGTAAATCAAACAAACCAAAATGGCGGTCTTAGCACCTCAGCACAGTATATTGACTTCCGTATCTTGAATGTTGATGATTTTTCGATTTACAAGTGTTTTTGGAGGCCAAGTTTGACATTTTTGAGATTTAACATTTATTTATTGGTTACTATGGCAGTTTTGTTTGGAAAATCTAATATTACAGTCACAAATCGACCACAAGTTCAGTGTTTCTGCCAGCTCTGATTTTCTGAGGGTCTTTTATGACCCCCTGTATGATATTTTAGGGGTCATTTCAAATTCATAAGGGTCATGCCAATAAATTTAAAAAAAGTGTAAAAAAAAAAAAACAGGTAACACTTTATAAGTTTTATTTACAATATTTTGTATAATTTTCGTGAAGAAATTGGTCAGTCTCTGCTATTTTGGATTATTTGTCATCCAATAATAACGCTGTATTTCTTAAAAATTATGTGTGTTAATTTTCATAGAAGAAAGAAAGTCGATACTATATTGAAATTCGTTCGTAGTCGCCTTCTATTTTTCATAGTGTTTCATAGTACCGCCTAGTGACGTAATCAAGGGCCAAATAAAGCTTGACACTAAATATGTTAGTGTTCATCCTTAGCTGTTTTACAGAAATTAGAAACATTCTCCTGTTGCTATCGCTCCCTTTGAAATTTCTAATATCTGTAGAACAGCACAGATGAACACTAACATATACCCAGACTGCATTTTCCAGCAGACAGTTATTCGTTCGCAGAATATGACAACAACAAAATAAATAATTTTGTCTGGGCGCTTTCAATATATGCAGTAACGTATAAATGCAAGCGTTTATTAACTAGTTGAAATTGGCTAGATGCCGGACCACGGACCCGGTAAATTTCATTTCTCATTAAAGTTATAGTGGAGCCCACGGTAAACATTCCGTACATTTTTATACTGAATTGACGGTTTATAGTCTGTATATCTGACTTGTGTTGAAATCAGCGACGGTGAAATTCTTGCGTCACAAAATACGCACTAACTAAATTTCATTGTGTCATGGCTGAAAATAGTGCGTCAAAAACGCAAAAACGCGCTCTGGCAGAAACACTGCAAGTTTGCTTGATTGGCCTGTGCTACGAAACACGAAAGCTCACAGGTCTGGTTGTTTCTTTGCCTTTGGGCAATTTTTTTTTATCCTAATTCCTCACAACCATGCTGAAAGCCAAAGGTAAATCAATATAAAATAAACAATTATTAATTTAATTTATTATAGTATTACATACATGAACTATTGTCAAGACAGAGCACAGCCAATGGGCCACACCATATTTGGGTAACAAGAAATACCCAAATATAGCCAAAATATACTAAAAATAAATGTGTTATACTAAAAAAGTGTTGTTTTAATCCTGAATACAATATACACTTTCACTAAGATGTAATCAACCATACCCAAATATACATTTTTGAACCAAAATATACCCAAATACAGTATACTCCATTTAAGCTATTAAATAAAAAAAATAATGCGAATGAACTTGTATTCATGAAATTTCAACAAAATTATACCCTACAAATTAAAAGTAGACAATAAATATCATATCTTGCAAGTACATTTGTCTATTCATTAATGAACCTAACAGTTAGAAAAGCAAATGTCACATTTTCTTTTCTTACAACATCTGAACTGCCAATTTCAATTGAATGAATGAAAGTAATAGTTGGCTAAGTCATATTATTTTGTAAATAGTATCAATTAATTTTCTTATTAGTCCCCTACCGGTTTAACGGAGGGGACTTTAGGTTTACCGTCCGTCTGTCCGTCAGTCCGTTCGTCTGTCCGTCCGTCAGTCCGTCCGTCCACAAAACTGGATCCCGCGATAACGCAAAAAGTACTGAAAATATTTTAATGAAACTTGATATATGGATAGATGGCAGTATGGAGATTATGCACGTCCTTTTCTTTTCTTCGTATGTTGAAAATTCTGGTTGCTATGGCAACAAATAGACTGAAAATATGGCAAATTTTACACATAACCTGGATCCAGTGATAACACAAAAAGTACTGAAAATATGTTTATGAAACTTGACATATGGGTAGATGGCAGTATGGAAATTATGCACATCCTTTTTTATCTTCCTATGTTGAAAATTCTGGTTGCTATGGCAACAAATAGACTGAATTTCAAGATTTCTGATTCTAGTTTTTAAGTTTTTTCACTATAAGTTCTTTATTTCTTAAGGTATTTTCTTCAAACTTTAAATATAAGTTGCTTGTCATCAACCACATCATATGTGACAAGGTTTACAACTCTAGCACAAAGTTTATCAGAATTACCTCCCTTGAACTTAAAATTTTCATGAAAAAAACATTGTTTTTTTTAATAACTTCTTTTTCTGAATGTATCTACTTCAAACTTCATATAAATGTTTCTTATAGTCACTCAACATTTGTGAGTGTTCAATACTCTAGCAAGGCTATTTCCAGAATTAAGCCCCTTTTGAACTTAGACTTTTTTTTTTGAGAAATTGTTCATTTTTACTCCAACTTCTTCAATCATGATAGGATTTTAAAAATGTTATATTTTGATAACAGTGATGTTTAAAAAATAACTTTATAGAGTGTCCTTCAGTCCGTCTGTCTGTACATAAAAACTGTTTCCTGTGATCACTTTTAAAGAACTTTTTCAACAAATTTTCTTAAAGTAGGAACCTAAGTGAATGGCCAATGGCCCTTCAGAATGTTGCTTGGGCTCTTACCGGTAGGGGACTTATAGATTGCTTGCAATACTATGATAATTGCTTGTTTAAATCTATATTGTATACAAACCAAAATGAATATTGCTATAATTGATTGTGTTTGGGTATTTCGTGCTGCCGTCATATTTTGTAGAACCCGTAGCACTGGCTTAAGCAGAATACAACATTTAAACATGAAAGTTGTGAAATTTTGAATACCTGTAGAAACACCTGCAGGCAGTTTTCATATAGTAATACCCTTTAGTGTGACATGCTTTTGCCATTCTATGCACCTTAGTGGACTGAGGTCAAATGTGAGGTTAAAATATTAAAGTACTATGAATATCTTGTAAAAAAAAAGTGATCCATTGGAAGCATTAAAAACAGCAAAATTACATGAAAATTGCAGACAACCTGCAAAAACAGTAGCTGTCACAAAGTACATTTCAATAATTATTTATAGACACTGAGTGTATTTTTTAGATAGAGTTAGATTTATGTCATGAACTACATGTATTATATTGGTGTTATCAAATGTTGTTTTAAACATTACCATGTAAATATTCATAGGACAAAAAAAATCGAATAGCTTGAAATTTAATCTTCTATAAAGTCCTTAAAAAATCAAAAAAGGTCCTTGATAAGTCCTGGAAAAGTCCTTAAATTTTCAAAATATCTAAGAGTGGGAACCCTGCGATTTGTTTTGCTTATAAAAACTGTGACTCAAAAGTAAGTAATAGTTAGGGTACGAAGGACAAGTCTACATAATATTAACAGACGCGGACCGAGAGAGCGTAGCGATAAAGGTTTTAAATGGGTTACCGAGTGCGGTAAACTATCTTACCAACATGCTCTTGTTTTTCAATACAAACTTCAGTTTTGAATTCAGTATTTATTAATATTATTCACAAGAAACTTCTTTTATGTACTTAACCAGGTTTAAGAAAGCATTCTAATGTCATTTAGGGCATTTTCTATGAGTGCGCCCGTCGGGCCCACAGTTGATTTTGTTTTGCGCCGGCGGCCTTTTCAGGGGGTCAATTGCGCAATGGCGCGCTCTAGATTGAACACTGCATAAAAAATACATGAGAGTTTACATCAAATTTTGGTGCATTTTGGCCAAAATGCTCATAATGTTCAAGTTGATGACAGCTCATTGTGTGACATGGCTGAGTGATTAATGTACTAGTTATTTAAGGATCTCTTGTTAAATGGGTTTAAACCATGTCAGGGGCCAGCTGTTGTTTCTGCAAGCAAGAAACTTTTTACATATTGCTGAGAACTTGATAATTTAAGGAATGGATTTGAAAGTGTGTTTATAAGCATAAAGCTTCCTGTAATAAATTTTGTATAAACTAAACTAAGAAAGCCCATGAGAACAATTTGTAAAGTTGAGTTCATAATTGTTCATTTATTGACATTTAATTATGTCCGCAGGCTTATGGAAAGTCAGTGGTTCAACTTTGGTGCCCACTCCTGTCTAAAAAATTCAAAATTATGCATAGACGTTCAAGAGGTCTTCCCCCTCTGAATGCTGGAAAGTCGGCATAAACGTATGATCTGGATAATGTTTGATGTTTCTTACAATTGGTTGAAAAAACAATCATTTAATTTCATTGTGTCATTTTTCAGATGGCAGTTTATATATAACTACGCCTGTAGATCCAGTGTTCCTTATTTTACCATACCTTATACAAGCTGCTAAGGTAAGATCATGACTTATTACTACTCAGTGTTAGCGATTTTCCCTAACTTTACTGAGTACCTGGGACTCAGTGCTAATAGATCTGTTACGTCCCAATTCAAATGGAACGAGTCCTCAATTACAAAAATGTCAATGTTTGCATAACTTCATAATTGATAGGTTGGCCCAAAACGAGGCCGAGCACTTGCTCCTAGTCTATGTTTGGGATATAAATCTGCATTGCTAATGAGAAAGGAACAAATGAAAATGAGGTGAAAGTCAAGTTCTTATAATACAATTTATTTAAAGTGAATAGAAAATCATTTTCAAGCAGAGCAAAAAAACTTAAGAGAGAATTGACCAATTATCGGGGAAAAAGTGTTTCGTCCCAGGGACTCAACAGCCCTTTTTTTCTTTCCTCCCTGGCAATTTTAGCGAGTAAATTGATATGTTTACTCAGTAAACGCGAACACTGCTACTGTAAAAAATATTAATAATAATGCAATAAACAATTATACAATTAAGATATAATATACTCTAATTTATAGTTAATCAAGACTTCCTGAAAGCCTTCAGACATTGGCAACAAATTTTACCGAGGTCAGAAGATTTTGACTCTTAAAGTAGGTTTGATTGTCAAGCATTGGGATGCTGGGGGGGAGGGACTACTTCTCTGTAAAGTTCAAAAGATGGCATATGGTTTTCACAATTTCAGTTTCACTTTAAAATAGTATACTGCCACCACATTTTAATGCTAACCTTAGTATAACACTCATAGGCCTTGGCTAACCCAAAAAATGTTATATTTTTCACCAATCATAAATTTCTTTTCATGTATATTTTGCTATATATATGATATTCACAATAACTCTTGTTCAGTGTAACTGTCAAGTACAATAAACAATTGTAATTAGGACATTACTACTGCTAAAATGAATTATAATGCATCACACAAATATATAATAAAGATTACAGGTATACTCTAATTTATACTTGATCAAGACTTCTTGAAAGCTGCCACACATTGCCAAAAAATTTCACCGAGGTCAGAAGAAAAATTATATTTTTCGCTAATCGTAAATTTCTTTTCATGTATATTTGCTATGTTATTAGCGATAACTCTTATCCAATGTAGTAGTCAAGTACATTAAATATAATTAGGACACTGAGCGCAGAAAGTGGGAAATGCATGCATGGGTTAGCTGTAAACCTCTATTTTGTTCATTTAACCTGTCGATCAATGGAGTATCAAATTGGTATTACAATGTCAGATTCATAGCTGTGACACATAGATGAATTGATGTATAAACTCCACAAGCCCAAAATCTATTTAAAAATATCCACTTAATATCAAATGGCGAAAAAGTTCTTGAGACAATAGATAAATGGTGTTTGATTAACTACCAAACACTAACTAAAGCTAGAAGCTTTTACAACTTTAATGGCTAACTGTGTTTTACATTTGTGATTTATAGTTTTCTGTTTCTTCTAAACATAATAAGTTATATGTTACAAAATAATATATGTTAACACTTTGCTAATGAATCACTTTCAATGCAATCAAGTCTTTCTATAATGAAATACATGTTGTAATAATGTCCTGTTATTTAATGGGAAATCATTCAAATCATGAATTACAATTACTCTTTTCATTCATTGCTACTTATTCCCAAAGTTAACAAAGTAGAATGTTTTGATTTTTGCAGTCAGAAAAGTTTATGACATTAGATCAGATAGTGATAGATGAAGATTTCCCAGAATGCCGCAGGTTACAGTCTTCTTGTCAGTCAGATCATCTCGAGAATGTATCAGATGTCAAAGGTAAAATAAACATTGATTTACAATACTGGTACTTCTCACGTTGGCAAAAATCCTTGGGTCATAAGTTTGAATCTGCACCACTCTAATTAAAATTATTAACTAACATGTCTGGTTCCACACACATAGCTCAGTAGAGAGTAACACGTAAATTGCTTTGTGAGTGTAGGGACACTCTTATACAGGCATGCATCTAAAAACACAAAAAATATCTGAAACATTGCCTTCAAAAGAATGTTATTGCATCCTCAAATCAGAATATTGTTAAGGTTGTACCTTTTGTAATGCAAACAGATTTACTATTGGGTCTTCATTTGCCAGAGAAAGATACTAAAGGACCTTTATCAGTCTTTATCATAATATTAGGTTTATTATGTAAATCTTATCAAAACTGTGATTTCATATCTATGATAAAGGCATTACAATAAAATTGCACATTGCACTGCCTTAGAGAATTTCTTATATTGAAGATGCTTTAAGATTGCATATTTCTTTTCTATTTTAGGTGATGATGATTTTAAAGCATACAGATATAACAAAGACAAGGCATTATCTTGGTTGAAGTTAAAGGCAAGTTTGTAGAAACAGGAACTGAAAAATCAGTAACTGTGAAAACATTTCATAATTTTAAGATGTTTGAAAGTGTTTTGTCCACTTTTCTATAGAGATCAAAAGTTTCCCTTTTATTTGGTTATCCAACAAGATGAGAGGAAATTCAGGGAAACAGTTGACTGCTGGAAAGAACTTTCACATTTCACAAAATAAACTGATATCTTGAGGAATGAATATATAGGGAGCACAATGGTTTATTTAGTGCCTGTTTTATACATACGCCAAAACATTTGCTTTGTTTTTGGTTTCCCTTTGTTTATGTTAATTAAGCTTTAACTAACTCATGTCCACATACATTCATTATTCTTAAAAATCAGGCATGCCGTGCAGGTTGGATAGCATAATATGTTGGAAAAAGTGAATTCAGCTTTCTTTTGAATATTGATATTATATTTGTTTCATATGGCTCCATTCTTCCTAATGTCTATTTGCAGAGAATCGTTTTAAAGTTAATTTGTTTGAGCAAGTTCAATGTATAAATATTTAATGAATTATTTTTCAGACAGAAAATGTATGTAAAGTATTGGAGAAGAAGAATGTTTGTGTGTCTGGTGCTAAAACATCAGAACTTGTACAGAGTAAAGCTACTGAAGGTTTGTAAAATGTTCTATTTTTACAGGTATTGTAATAAGTGTTTTCTTCCATTGATAGTCATTAGCTTGTCCATTAATTTTTGGTAAGATTTTTATGGAATGATGAAAGTAGTAAACCTTTTTATGGTACTGTTAAAAAAACAAAACAACTACCGTTATGGTCAGCTGAACAAGGTAGTTACCAGAGTTATAAATAGAAATAAACTATTTGATAAACATCATTGTCTTAACTGACAGGTAGATCCTAATAAAACAATATTACACTGATTTTATTGGATTTCTGACTTTGGTAAAATAATTCTGATTTACTTTACAATATGGCTGACAAAGTTAGAGATATCAGACAGTAAATCAAAATTATTATAAAATTCTTTATTTGCTTTAGTATTTCAGATTAGAATTATTATTGATATTTCAGAGGAGTATATGAGATATGCTTTTGGTGTGGTGTCCGACTATCTTCCTACAGAATTAACCAACTTACTGAGAGAACATTTAGGGTGAGGTTTTATGTTTTGTGATTTGCTTTGCTGTGTATGCTTAATCATATACTTTTAGTGACGTTTTATTATACAGGAAAAGTTGAAAATTAAAACCTCTTATTCTCACAGGGCTCTCGCGCTGGCAGGAGAAGAATATAATTGGCTTAAACTTATAAAGAATATGACTAAGACTCTCCAGTCTAAATTTAAAGAATATGACTTTAAGACTCTCCAGTTGAAATTTAACATTCACTATTTTAAGAATGGGACGGTATACATTTTGTTTTCTATGTACAACTTCTGCTTCAGAACTTCATGCAATAATCTAATAATTTTCGTATTACTGTAACGCATATTACAATTTCATTGGTAAGATTTTAAAGAGAAGTGATTTAACTAGAAGATTGATTGAGATGGATATTTATGAAAGTTACACATAAAGTGCTGGATTTTTAACTTTTTTGAATAAAATTATGATTATGTTTAACCTTCAGCTTACAAAATGTTGTGATTCTACTCAGGTTCATGCCTGAAATAATGCATGGAAGGGCACTTTAGGTCTTCCTTCACCAGTTAAGCAGGAAAGTCGCCATATTGATATCATAATTATCATTAGATAAAAATCACACCATAGGTTGATATATTTACATGATGTAAAAAAATGATAAGTAGATCTACATGTCTTGCTTCTATTTGATATTAGTCTTAGTTTTGGCAATATTTTGTTTTGTGAACATTGGTGTGTGGGTCAGTAGCTCCAATAAGTATTGTATGATTGGATTTTGTCTATAAAACATGTTTATGGTCTTGAAGTTATACCAGGTATACCAGTGGCTTAATATGTTACTTCCTCATGATTTATGTTTACAGTATACCAGTTGTTGCAGAGAAGAGACCATCAGATGCTAAGAATCCACCATCAAAGGTTGTTTTATCTTCATTTTTCCATGTTTTTTTATAAGCTCATTGAAATGTAGGCTGCATTTGTTTAACAGAATTATTTTGAATATTGCTGCTCTTTGCTGAAAAGTTGGATGTGGCAATTAGCAAAACAAACAATAAAATAAAGAAGTATAGTAGTGCTGAATTTTCTTAAGATAAATGGACCATTAAAGACATCAAGTTGATATTGTAGTGTTTCTACTTAAAAAGTGTGGATTCTAGATTAGTTTTATCAGCAAACTATTTTAACATTGATAATGATATTACAGAGAGCAAAACTAGAAGATATAACACCTAATGAAGATTATAGTCAGAATGTGAAACATGAGGACAAGTCTAAAAAGGTAAGGCAAGCATAGTTGTTAAAGTGTCTTGTTCCCAACTCGGGGGTCATGGGTTAAAGTTCTTCTGGGGTCACATCCTTTTCACCTCACTATCATATGACACTAGTTCTGGTAAGTCCTTGGAAGCAGATTGGAGAGTTTATCAAGTATCAGTAATTCTTATTCAAGTTAAAATTAAAATGAATACATGTATGTTTAAATTAAAAATGAAAACTTCTTTAGTTATCCCATGATGACCATCCTGTTATTGCTGGATAGTAAAATGAAGCTCATATTATCTTGAGTGTATACATTAATATAGTCTGACCAGACATTAATATAGTCTGACCAGAATATAAATTTATTTTTGTACTATAGTCTCAAAAAAACTTTTACATTAACTATGATGTGACTGTGATGTTTTCAAAATCTTCATTATGTACCTGCAGTGTAAATACCTGGTTTGATTTGTCGGATTTAGTGTTCTGTCTGGGACAGAAAGATACACACTTTACATTATTAGTCCCAAGTTCTGTAGCTTCTTGATGAAATAGTTCTAGTTTGCTTACATAAAATCATTTGGGTAAAAAAAGGGTCAATAGTTCTACTGATCCAGATCAAACCTGTATTTCCTGCAAGTTGCCAGTAGCTTTTATTAATTCATCTGAAATACTGGTTTGAAAATGAACAATAAACATTTATAATTTGACTTAAATACAGCATAGATATTGACTTTGGTATCTATATCATCTATTATGCAACACTCAAACATAAAAATTAAAACTCAAAAGAGATTAAAGCACAAGTGACAAATTTTACTTGTCTTTGCAACAGCCCATTCTTACTAAATTTGGATTTTTTGTGTTATACTGGTAACCATTTGAAAGTTTTTGAAAAATTGACACTGATTTTATGAAAATTGTCACAGTTTTCTTCAAATGATGATTATACACATTTAGAAATGGTGTTGTTTATCATGATTTATGCCTTGACCTTTTGATGGTTTTGGAGAAATATAGACAATGATGAGGAGTTTCAATTTTGAATTTTGGATTTTCAACATTTTTGTCAATTGAGAAAGGACTTTATATTTGGCTTCTACTTTTTGCATAAAGGTCAGAAAAAGACTGCACGCTACTAAAATAACTAGACTAGCAATTTTACATGACAATACCTAATATTTACAGGGTAAAGCCAGCACAGCACAGAAGAAGTTGGAGAAAGTTGACAAGTCCGGGATGAAGAGCATGATGAGTTTCTTCTCTCCGAAAACAAAATCCTGATAATTGATGAGTATGAATACAGTCAAACCTGTGATTGATGACCTACTGTAGGACCAAAAAATAAACTTAATAAAATGTCAAACCCATACCAGGATCAGAGCTGCATTACTGGTACTGGTACTGGTACTGCAGTATGTACTGCAGCGATTTTGCAAATACTGGTACTGATACTGAATTACTCTTACAAAATTTTGCTACTACTGGTACTGGTACTGCATTACTGTCTTAAAAAGTGGTACTGCTACTGCATTACCCAGTACTTTTGGTTTTGATAAAAATTAAAAATAGCATCAATTTTTCTCATAAAATAAAGCTGTAAATTACATTAACTATATTTTATTTTTGTGAAAAAGTAAGTTATCAAATCTAAAGATAATTTGCTGCAATATTCCTTCAAATGTTAACATAGTATTCATCATAAAAAGCACCAAAGACTTTAAGTAAAAATTAAATTGAGATAAACAGACTCAATAACTCTTTACCCTAAAATATCCTTTTTAAAATCTGTTATTACTTTGTATTTACTATTAAAAGAGCAAAATAAACACTAATTAATTTCTTCTATTCTAAATAATCCCATTTCAAGTGAAAAAAAGTGATATTGTTAGCACCATAAAAAGTTGTTATTTACTTTGGTATAAATTGAACAGAGGTGTGAAGGTGTGAAAGGCAACAAAAGACTGCTGTGTTTTAAATGAAAGATGTTTGCATTGTATTTATACAGTTGACTGGTTACTAAACAATTAGATATGACATGAATATATGTTGTAAATATTGTTTGTAAAAAGTATGTTAAAACTATAAAGTTGTAAATATGTTATGTTAACTTTAAAGTAAATTATGATTTTATTTCTTTGCTGAATAATACTTGCAATTATTTGTTTGACACTGTATTTATTCAAACTTTGAAGAATATATAAAAGTAATGGTACGGATACTTAATTACTTCACCAAAAAAAGTACTGGTACTGCAGTACCGAGCTAAAATCTTGTACTGGTACTGGTAATGGTACTGCATAATTTGCCAAGTACTGGTACTGGTACTTAAGTACTACACCCTGAGTACTGATGCAGCTCTGACCAGGATATATAGGTCATTGATAATTAGAAATATTTTAGACAGGTTTTGATTCAGAATATGATTTCAGTTTTGAAGTGATGTTTATTTAATTAACAGATTCACATTTTAAAGCTATTTATTCAGTAGTGTTGCATGTATGTTTTTTTAGCTCACCTGTCACAAAGTGACAGGGTGAGCTTTTGTGATCGCTTTTCGTCCGGCGTCCGTCCGTCCGTCGTCCGTCCGTCGTCCGTCCGTAAACTTTTGCTTTAAATGACATCTCCTCATAAACCACTGAGCCAATTTCATCCAAACTTCACAGGAATGTTCCTTTGGTGGTCACCTTTAAAAATTGTTCAAAGAATTTAATTCCATGCAGAACTCTGGTTGCCATGGCAACCGAAAGAAAAATCTTTAAATATCTTCTTTTAAACAACCCTAAGAGCTAGAGCTTAGATATTTGGCATGAAACATCTTCTAATGAGTGTCTACCAAGTTTGTTCAAATAAAAGCCCTGGGGTCAAAATTGGCCCCGCCCCAGGGGGTCATTGATTTTCCCTATATGCATATAGTAAAAACTTAAAAAATCTTCTTTTAAAGAACTGTAAGAGCTAGAGCTTAGATATTTGGCATGAAACATCTTCTAGTGAATGTCTACCAAGTTTGTTCAAATAAAAGCCCTGGGGTCCAAATTGGCCCCGCCCCAGGGGGTCATTGATTTTCCCTATATGCATAAAGTAAAAACTTAAAAATCTTCTTTTAAAGAACCCAAAGAGCTAGAGCTAAGATATTTGGCATGAAACATCTTCTAGTGAATGTCTACCAAGTTTGTTCAAATAAAAGCCCTGGGTCAAAATTGGCCCCGCCCGGGGGTCATTGATTTTTCCTATATGCATATAGTAAAAACTTAAAAAATCTTCTTTTAAAGAATCATAAGAGCTAGAGCTTAGATATTTGGCATGGAACATCTTCTAGTGAATGTCTACCAAGTTTGTTCAAATAAAAGCCCTGGGGTCAAAATTGGCCCCGCCCCAGGGGGTCATTGATTTTCCTTATATGCATATAGGAAAAACTTATAAAATCTTCTTTTAAAGAACCCAAAGAGCTAGAGCTAAGATATTTAGCATGAGACATGTTCTAATGGGTGTCTACCAAGTATGTTCAAATAAAAGCCCTGGGGTCAAAACTGGCCCCGCCCCGGGGGTCATTGATTTTCCTTATATACATCGCAAAAACTTAAAAATCTTCTTTGAAAAAACCCAAATAACTAGAGTTTAGATATTAAGCATGAAACATCTTTAAGTAAATATCTACAAAGTTTGTTCAAATAAAAGCCCAGGGGTCAAAACTGGCCCTGCCCGAGGGGTGTCATTGTTTTTAACTATATGTGTATAGTAAAAACTTAAAAAATCTTCTTTTAAAAAAACCCAATGAGCTAGAACTTAGATGTTTTGCATGAAACATCTTCTTATGGGTGTCTACCAAGTCTGTTCAAATAAACAAATAAAAGCCCTTGGGTAAAAATTGGGCCGCGGGGTGGGGGGGGGGGCTACATACAGGTGAGCGACCTCAGGGCCATCATGGCCCTCTTGTTTAAAAAAACAATTGTTTAAATCTTTATATCTGTTGAAATTAATGATACTTTACAGATTTATACATTTTGTAGTATAGCCTGTTGCATTTAATCAATTTCCACTCACAGTGTTCATAGTTTTACCTTTAGAATGAAGTAATGTTTATTTAACTATTTTGTTACATATACAATGCTATGCTCATTTTTGCTGTTTTTAGTGCTAGATTTTGTGATGTATAATAAATGGTAATTGGGTGGAGGGGAGGAATGGTCCAAGACATTAAATAATGGATCAATCCCTACTCTGACCTTTTATTTGAATGACATGCTCTTTTGTTAACAAATACGTTGTGGTGAAATTCTTATTGAAACACTTATCTAATAATTCAAACAAGATAGGTCAGGGATCTATGCATGGCACAGAATCTTGCTACAGCATTTTGCTTTGTAAATGTTGTGATTTAACGCTAAACTTGTCTAGCTTGTAACTTTAGCACTGCCCTTTGATATCAATATAAATTATTTAAGGTAGGAAGCAGTATAGAGCCTGGCCTGACTGCACCAATGGACAGGCAATTATGGCTTTACCCTAGTAGACCTTGGGCTGATAATTTTTACGGTTTCAGCAGAATGTGGGCTATGACAAATATTGTTCTTTTATTGAAATGAAAAGATACATGGTTACTTCATTAAATTATTTTATTCTCTAAATTTAGATACATTACTTGATTATCATTATTAAATATAATGCTCAACTATTGTTACTCATTTGAGCCGCGCCGTGACACAACCAACATAATGCATTTGAGACCAGCATGGATCCAGACCAGCCTGCGCATCCACGCAGTCTGATCAGGATCCATGCTGTTCGCTTTCAGTTTCCCTACTTATTAAAGGGTTTGTATGCGAACAACATGGATCCTGATCAGACTGTGCGGATGTGCAGGCTGGCCTGGATCCAAGCTGGTCGCAAACGCATTACGTTGGTTTTGTCATGACAGGCTCATTTAAACATTGTTCGATTATTGTTAATTTTATGTCATTTTTAAAAGTTTTAGCTTTGTTATAAGTGAAGAAAGATTAGATCTACATGTATATGTCGTATTCATATACAAAGTTCAATAGCATAATAATATCAGGAAATGTTTGTATACACTGCCATTTAGATAAGAAAGACCATGTTTTATTTTGCTTGTCTTTGCGATGCTTTGGTGCTAACAGTAGGGTATTAGTATTTGGGTTGTTGTGTTTCAATTTTGCCAACCTTATCTGCCATTTTTGCCTATATTCATCATACATTTATAGCAACTGCAAGGTTCGAAAATATATTAATTTTAATATTTACTGTTTTTGACGGTAGAGAAATGTACGTGGTAAATTATCGTATATATTACTTACTGTTAAATAATAAAGACTGGCATTTCAGTTGTTTGTCATATAAAATTGAATAAAAAGAACAAAAATGTATGGATTGTTTTGAAATATTGGTTAAATAAAACTTGTGCATTTTGTCCTTAATTAGACGCAGCTAATGAATGAAGTCACATCAATATTGTAAAAGATCATATGGCGACGGAAGAGCTCTGGGTGCCCCTCCTTGCATTATTTCAAGCATAAGCACAGACTTTTCGTAAGCTAGCCGTGTAACTCCCTCTCACGATTGAATCCAAAGGGACTTTGATTCAGTTTATAAATCGACTATTCAGATGTCTTAAAAATGACGGCATAAATAATACAATTAGTAAGCTTTCATGAAGTAGCCGTTTAGGTCAATAGACTTTCTATGGTCATGATGGTATTAAGAATATTTTGGGTATTTCCAGCTAATCCGGGGTGACGACCTTTTACAGTAGCAGCTTCGAAAATAAGCGGAACATATTGACATGATCTATTGTGAACGGTAGTTCACCGATAAAAGTTGGCACCGGGGCATTAGCACGGAAAACCTACACTTGCCCAGCCCGGATACCAACTAAGGCCGCTATTCCATTTATCAGTGGTCCGCGTCCGTCATCCGCATCCGTTACCGATTCGCTAATCAAAGAATACGTTGAATCTATTCCTTTTGTCCGTTTACCATCCGCTTCCGCGACGGCATCCGCGACGTTTCGCAGGATGAGCGATTTTTTACGGACGCGGACAGTCACTGACATGTCTCATCCCTACAAAATGCCTCGAACGAATTAAATACTTTATCGATTTCGAAAGAAAATACTAAAGAAGTCACCAAAATAGTGTAGGAGAACATATAAGTTTATGATGCAGCAATGACAGATTAAAAAAAACAACATCTGGTCATCGGTTGCTAAAGAGATGATATTTGAAAACCTAACTGATATTCAATGTTTGTTACCTAATTCTTTGATGTTACAACTGTTTTTGGTATTTGAATGAAATTATATCATATTCTACAAATAATTATCCTCTGTTCGCTATACTTCAATTAAAAGTATATA